GAAACTCCCTGTGACAAGTTTGCTACAAACCTGACTTGAAAACACGCTTTCGCAAACATAGCAATTTGACATAGATTATGTTTCTATCAATGCCGGTATATTTCATGTATAGTCTCGATATAGCAGTTCTCGAATCCTCTAATCACGAAACAAATCACAACAAAATTACTTCTTAGACTGTTTTTACATAGTAGTTTTATATTGCTTACACTACAGTCCAGGAATTGCCAGCCCCTGAGGCGAATAATCTTGCTGTGCTTCTTGGTGACTTAACATTCCACGCATGGACTTAACATCCAACGTTACGAGAACAATTCTTCATGAGCCTAATTAAAACCTGACAACATGACCAAAACTTAATAAGTTTCAAGTACTCTAACTCCCTTCTAAAGATAAGACTGTGTCAGACAATTATGTTGATGGATCGAGCATTGCTTTCGGTTGTGAATATAGGATCACACACACATCGTATTGAAACGGTTCCATTACATTTGAACCCACGTACATTTGAACCCACGACGATTGCATCTGCATACTATTGCACCTACAGAAAAAAATTTTGTTTTACGGATATTTGAACCCATACTAACCTAACTCATGGGTTTTAGCACCCGCATATAGATTGATTTTATCACAATAAAGCTATTTGTCTAAGTATGCCGACAGTTTATAAATTTCCAACAATGTAATAATACGTAGTGGATAGAATTCCCAAAACCCCGGTCGCAATTTGAGCCATCCCTGCATCGAATCGAATCAATTACCGAGTTAAACCTCTGTATATTTTAATCTTTACTGCTCTCTTAATATTTATCTATGAAGAAGAAAAAAATTAATTCTCCTTCCCGCCCTCGAATGGTTCTAACTGCTATATTCTTTGCTTGATTTTTAAAACAATAAATGAACTACCGGGGGCTTTATCGTGTTTTCTTTGATAACTTGAGAGGGAACAATTATCTTAATTATGATACTAATTAGTTTTAATGGTTTGCGTACCTCATTGTCAATAACTTTCAATAAACTTTAATTTTATTCTGTACTTTCCAAGACCTGCCATTCGGCGGCGACAAGTCTAACAAGTCTATGATCTCAGATAAACATCTCCCGCGGCATTTAATCTCGCGAAATCAATCCGGACATTCGTGGTTGGGTAGGTAAGCTTGTTACTTACGCTCGGCACCATACGAAGAGTCGATTATTTTGCTTATCTGTTTTATTTCAGCTTGTATAGAGGGCATAACATAATGAACAGTGCGAATAGCGCTATCCTGATTAGCGAATAATCACTAGCCGGTCGAGAAAGCGCGCGTTCAAGGATGTCGAAATATAATTTCTGGAAAGACCGGACATCAGAATTTTGAAATCAGAATCTTTGGTAAAAATAGTTGAGTAGCCTTGGCCTATATCATCGGCGGCGGTAACCGGACGAAAACAGTTATCTGCAATATGATCGAGCCTCATACGTCCTGGGATAAAATATAAAAACAATTGTAATTCCTATCTAGCATAATCGTCAAAAGATGAATTTATTTATTACCAAAAGCCAGGTCACTGCACACGCAATTTAAATATGATATTGCTTTTTAAACGCTACATCACCATTGTTTCTTATACTGACGACAGGACGATATAATGTATAAAGCAGTTTGAAAACATGATTTTTATACGTTATTTATACGTTTTATATTATTTCATAATCGAAAACAGCTGTGAACAATGAATCATTGCAGTAAGCATAGCCTGTGGGCAGAATCTAATTCCTATAATCTAAGATTCCAATATATTTAGATCTGTCAACTAGGCACAAAAACATACGCATACGAACCGTCGAATTAATAAAAATCTGAGAAAAAATAACACTTGTTGTTTTGTTAGATTATTATTTTATAAATAATGTGACTGTTCGGTTTGACCGCAAAATAGGTTGAGGTTTTCCGAGACTAAGATGATCATTGGAGCGTTTGTTTGCGTGATGACTGAGGGAGGAGGGTCACAGGTGAATCCGGAATAACAAAAAGTATATATATAATATGTACAACTCTCAAACAAATTTTAGGAAAGAAATATTCTTTGTTGCAAATAACGTCATATTTTTCTTGTAAAATTCTTGACCAAAGTTCAGACGTTGCATGATTGGAAATGATCGGTTTCTGGCACCATAATCAGCTCCCAAAGTTAAGAAGTAATAATATACCTAGATACATAGCCTACGTAGATCAATTTTTTGCCTGGAATAGCAATCGCAACTCCCTGACTGTTGATCTTTTTGCTTATGATAAGTATTGTTCGCAATAATGACACGAATATTTCAACTGAAACTTTACAGCGAAAAACAACTGTCAGCGTTATTCAATAATAGTGTGGGTCGCTAATTCGCTGAACCGTGTGACCACAAAGCTATAGTTATCAGTCAATCGAGCGTTTTTTCATCGCGTGTCAAAATACAACATTAACGTCAGCACATTACTTTTTTAGAACTCTCCCTCCAAACAATGGTAAACTTATGTGAGGAGCTACTTGGGATGGCGTATACTGCTTACCCAATTGAGCCATATATATGAAGGTTCAACACCCGTCTCCAAGTTCCGCTCATATGAACATCTTATAGCTGGCTCATATGAAGATGTGGTTATAGTGACGTCACTTCAGGGAATTGGTCCCCCCCTGGCCAATATTGTATCTGAAGCGCAAATGCAAGGCGTTAATGGCCTGCCCATTTATTTTGTGTGTTGTGAGAACTCCAATTGATGCAAATATCAAACTTGGTCAGAGGTAGCTGAATCTTGAAGTACTGGATGTTCAGTTAGGTCCATGACGTCACAACGGGGAACATCATACCGGAAAAAAGAGTTCAAGGACGCACAATACATGTCTTGTTGAATTTTATGCTGATTGAAAAGATCCCACGTTCTGTTATTTGACAGAATATTTTTCATTAAATCAAATTGTCTGTTCTGAATTACATACTTTTGTCGTAGTTGTATATTAGTTTAATTACGTTTTGTGCTTTTGACATTTTGGGTTAATTTTATCGGTCCGCAAACTGAAGAAGGTTGATCACCACTGTTCTAGAATTTGTCAAGCCATTATTGGACACGAAATTCACATATTATGTACATATATATATGTGAATCGCTTTTTAATATTATTTTGTTGCGCTTGTTATTGATTTTTGTCCTCTTCTTGTGAAAAAATCGCTTCACTCATTAACTACTGGACCAATTTTTCTTCGAAATTTTGAGTGGCTAAAGGTATTTGTCGCTAGAAGGCTATTACTTATATTTTTGAACAAGCTCTCCTCCATGTGGCCTTCAGTATTATGCAACCGTGACTTGGGCTCGGATAGTAAGCTACTTTCAATTCTTAGGCGGACTTTGTAATTCCAACTTTTCAACGTTGATATTGGGAATTGAAACATAAACTAAAAACAAGCATCAACAGAATACAGGAGTTAATTAATATGCGCTCAAGTTCTCAAGTCAATTTGTTTGCTTTCAAGTTGGAAGATGGGGTTGGGAGTGTGGTTTTTGTGAATCTCATGGAACCCCAATTCAGTTTCGCTCGTATCCAAGCCCTCGTAGACAGCTATATGTAGGACATCACCTTTCAAAACAGATCATGTTTTCTTTATTCAACCAAGTTGCTGGCATTGTCGCTTAACATATGACTGATATCGACAATAAATGAGTACAGTGGTTCTTAAACTTTTTTAAAATGGCACAATAAAATATTATTTGGCCTGTGCGGGCCCCTTCGTAGCCTGGTCTTAATCTTTAAACATATAATATATGGAATATATATAAAACATATGAACGATACTTACATTTAATGTATTGTAAAGGATATAACAGAATCAAGATTGACAATTTCCCTACAACCAGCTATTTACTTCCGAAAAGATAAGTTTATTTCGACTCCATAATCAGCATAAACGGTTGATAAAAAAAAAATAAATAAAAACTGATTATGAAATCAGGAGAGTACACAGAACCTTGGATAAGGTTTAAAACGTACAGAATAAAAGATGGAAGGTATTGCCAAAAAGAAGTGGTACGTGTTCACTCACCTTAAACTATTGGATCAAATCATAGCCTACACATCGTAATGTAGGCTACGCTGGAACAAGTCAGTCAACAAGATACATCACGCGTTTTTCTATACAGCGTCCCCAACAATTGTCTAAATAAATGACATGTGTCACGTCACGCAAACACATTTATAAACATTCTCATTGAAATTGATTGATTAAACAACCGGACGGGAAAATAATCGGGGGTTTGAACTGTCGAGCCCGACCTCTAGTTTCAGATCCCCTAAGTTAGTATGAGCGTAAATATATACTACTACGTATGAGAGCCTGTCACGCTGTGATTTTGAATGCTTTATTTCCCAGATCGGTAATGGGTCCATGGGTTCTCGTAACAGGTAGGTGTCTCTGTGGTTTCGTCTATTTATTTAGTTTTTAAATGGCCAAATTATAACATATCGGATCAGGAATTTCCTCATTCCGTCATATCCTATTCATTGGCTAAGCAGGAAACGTTGCCAACTGTTCCTTCATCTACGATTTTCATATTTACCCCGGTCGACGATTGCCAGCATTTTCCTATCCATTAGCACGATGAGCCAACCGCCGCTGGTATATTATATATTCCGACATGGACTGATAGCTGGACGAGACGCTGTGGTTCGCCCTATGATCAAGTTGATTTATCGGGTCCCCTTTCCCCCGGAATAAATATGAAATTTCTACCCTACCGCAGTGAATCCATAACTGTCACGCTGGAATTGCGATCCCTCCTTTAGCGCGCTTGCGCAGCCCAACTATGAAATACTTTTTTGATATTTTCATTTATTTTATTGATTTTCTGTGTACGGTGCATAGCATGCAATTTAAATATTTTATATATTGAAAATAGACACTTTTTTTTAGTTAAAATGAAAAGTTTTTTTTCCGTAACGCATGACTGATCAACAAATCGGTGAATAGCGCCCAACGTGTACGATGTGTTTTCGCTCCTTTTGCTTCGAGTGATAAAACGTCCGTGCGCGATTTTTGTGCAGGAAAATGGCTTCAATAAAACAGCCCCAATCAGTCCAGGTTTATGGTCGTAAGAAGACCGCTACTGCCGTAGCTCATTGTAAACGAGGAAATGGGATCGTAAAAGTCAATGGAAAGCCTATAGATGTTCTTCAACCAGCTACTTTGAGATACAAAATCGAGGAACCCATTATGCTTTTGGGGAAAGAGCGCTTTGAGGGAGTTGATATTAGAATCCGCGTTCGTGGAGGAGGTCGTGTGTCTCAAGTTTATGCTGTTCGTCAAGCACTTGCTAAATCGCTGGTCGCTTACTACCAGAAATTCATTGATGAGGCTTCAAAGAAAGAAATCAAGGACATTTTGATTCAATATGATCGTACTCTCTTGGTTTCTGATCCCAGAAGAAAAGAAACAAAGAAGTTCGGAGGTCCAGGAGCCAGAGCAAGATTCCAAAAATCTTATCGTTAATTTTGGACTTGCTCTTGTTACAATGAAACATGTTTTCACGATGTTGCATGTTTCATCTGCATTTTTCAAAGTTTGGTCATTTAATAGTAGATAATAGTGAATAAATCATTGTACAACAGTACTTTGTATATTTTGCTTTATTTAGTATCATGTACACCTTTAATAGAAATTAATGAAGTGTGTCTGGTAATAATAAAATAACTTTAAATCAGAAGTGCCTTTGTTATTATTTCACGTCTTTTGAGTTTCTAAATAAAAGTGGGTCGGTGTGTATTAAATTTTTTTAGATCTGATTAGCTGAATTTTCATGTCTTACTTTGTAATTATTGTGCATTATATGGACTGAATCTTCAAGAATGAATTTCGTTGACTTGTAATTATTTTTTCAATCAATGATGAATATACTTTGTTTGAAACTTTATCTTGACCTAAATACATCCGTAGGTCAACATTAATAGTTTTTCAACCACTTTATTGTGCTTCGTAGTGAATCCAATTTATTACAATTGTAATATACAGTCTGTTATTGTCAAGTGGTGAATTTACATCTCTAAAACCCCTGTGTGTTTCTGATTGTTACATTGTATTGTACTTTGATATATTCACCATTATCTGCTATTGCATGTTCAAACTTTATCTAATGCAAAAATGTTTTTCCCAGTTTAGATAATAGATAAGATGTATAGATATGAAGCATTCTTGTGTTGTCTCGTCGCAACTTTTATGGTTCAACATACCACTGAAGCAGCATTGCCGAGCCTTTACATCGTTATCCGGAGCCAACCTAACTCTTATCATGAAATGAAATCATCTGTACTACTTCGTGATATAGAACAACAAGCTGATGAAATCAACGCCGATGTCAGTATTGTCGAATTGCATCGAGAATGGCCGGACGATTACGACAAAGCCTGGGCAATATTACCTATCATGCCGGAACTTGTAAATTCCGAGGCGATGAAAAAAGATTGGGTTATGTTCCTTGAAGATTCCACTGTTATTAACATAGAAAAAGTTCTAAAAGTTTTGTCAAGATTTGACTATAAAAAAGATTTGTTTTTAGGTAGAGGACTTTACGATACCGACATGGTGATTATACATCATTTTTCATCAAGAAAAGCCCAAGGAGGCGGTCGTTTCCTTTTCCCAGATTTCGACGTTGGTTGGGTCCTGAGTAGCATCTTAGTAAGAAAAGTTGGCGACGATTGGTTAAAATCTCCACCTGGTAAAGACTTCCTAATTGACTTAAAACATGAAATAGCTGTCCATCTTAGCGATAAACACAATGTCGAACTTACGAATGTTGAAGAATTTTGTGGATCGGGAGAAGAAACTCCGAACTGTGCTACTAATGTTTTAAAAGACATTCCGATTTGCGATGATAAAATTACTCTGGATGATATTCTTGTTAGTGTTAAAACTACTCTAATGTTTCATAAAGATCGTGTGAAGGTTGTCATGGACACTTGGGGGCCAAAGGTTAAAAATATTGTATTTTATAGCAATTATACTGACCCTTCTATTCCTACTATCGACTGTGGCGTGCCGAACACAATACGCGGTCACTGTGGCAAAAGTGATGCAATTTTAAAAGATTTCTTGAAAAGAGCGGAAGTGAACGATTACAAATGGCTTGTTGTGGCTGACGATGATACTATAATGAGCGTCGCTCGTCTTGTGCAGTTTTTGAATTGCTATGATCATGAAGAAGCTACATTTCTTGGAGAAAAATACGGTTACGGACTTAACATTAAAAACGGTTACGCTTATATCACAGGGGGAGGTGGAATGGTGTTTAGCAAACCAGCAGTCGAAGTTTGGGTGAAAGAGTGCAAATGTCCGTCACTTGACACACCAGACGACATGTACCTTGGTCAATGCTTATTTCGCAAAGGAGTAATCTCTACTCATTCAACGTTATTTCATCAAGCACGTCCTCCCGCGTATGCAAAAGGTTTTCTTGCGAATCAAACCCCGATTTCGTTCCATAAGCACTGGATGATAGACCCAATCAAAGTTTACAGCGATTGGTTTAAAAAAGCAGATGCTGGTTTACCGACCTATAACCACGCAGTTGCTCATTCAACCGTATCCACAACGCCACAACCTATCGTGGCTCCGACCCCTTTACCCCCCACACCGTTGGAAAATCCACTGAAAGATGAGCTTTGATTGTGGACTCAGATAGAGCAGATATACTTACACTGGTGCCTTAATTATTGCCATTCTTGCTGTTTTATCAAGTTTTGTTTTACAAAAGCAGAACCCAGAAAATTTGGTTCATATTCTGGAAAAAACATAATTTTGCTTAAACTGTATTAGATTTACTAAAAGTTTGAATACAATCATCATATACGTACAGAAGTTCAATTGTTAAATTTTTTCTTTTTTTAGAAGTACCGTAACTAAGAAATTTATGTGTTCTGTTTTTGAGTTACTCTGCATGTGTATATTAGTATTAAACTATATTATTTACTTTTAGAATTTAGAGACATTTGTCATAATAATACAGGGTGTTCCAAAATAAATGAAACCCACAAAATTGGTAATCTTGGGTGTAATAACACCCTGTATAACACTAACCAAAGGTCTATAAATCTGTTTGTTATGTTCCGGTTGAGGTAGTAAAATCACTCCTCATCATTGAATTATATAATTTCATATAAAAGTGTGGTACTATATCTAAATTATGTGTGAGTTCCGCCCCTCTATGTTACAATTTAGTCGAGGATTCTTGTAATTTTCACTTTGAATTTATATATATATAAAACCAACTAACTAGCGGACATTTATGGAAAAGTTATTTCTATATATCTGTGTTATCGGGCGGGCACCTTTTGGGACCGTGGAGTCTGTAATTGATAAGAAGAGACTTGAGGAAATTCAGAAGCTTCTGTGCAAACCAATTTCTGATAATATTTTACCACTATGAAAATTATGAATTCGTATTTCGAGAAGTTTATAAATAAGACTCCCACTCTAAAGCCCTGGTGCCTTCTATATTATTCAACTATATCTCTAGAAAGTTCTTTTATTTATGTTGTGATTAATTTGCCTATTTTGATTATTGACTGAAAATTTAGTAGAAACCGCTGCTTAGTAATGTTCCAGTTTTTTTCCCATAAGCCGTTCTGAGATTATTTCATATCTACTTCATAGTAGTGTATTTACTTTTCTTTTGGATGTCGTAAATATGTTGCAGTTTGTTCTTCATTTTGAAATTGTTTACTGATGCAAGACAAAAAATAAATTATTCTGTAATGAATATGATTTGATGGTTGGTGGCGAATTAAAAAACAGGCTTATATCCAGTGGAGGAATTCCCTCAACGACTATATTACAAAGCGATATCTTTTACAGAAAAAGCTCAGAGGCATTGGAATTAACAAGCGTTCTCAGCATTCTAATAAAAAAAATTTTGTTATTTTTTTTTGCAAGGTTTGAAGTCAAGGGTCAGAGTCGAATGAAAAGATTTTTTCTCGATTTCAAAGCTTTGACGGATATTCTCTTAGATGAGCATAATTTTTTAACAGAAGAAAGATTAATTAAAACACTCAAAAAATTACACATCACTGCATCCACGACCTAGTATTTTTACTTGGGTTGAGTTCTGGAAGTGTACCATGAGAGTGCTTGTCGAACTATTTATAATATAGTTGCCAGTAGATAGAAGTTCAGTCAACAATCAAATGGGGAAATAATACGTGTAATGTTTACGGCATGTTGATTGTTCGAATGATAATTTATTGTGGAGCCAAAGCAGGATAAGCTTATTTAAGCCACCACATTTCATTGAGAAACCTCACAGGCCAGAAACTAAAATACTATAAGTAAAAGTTTATTTCGACTCCATAATCAGCATAACAATACATTTGACAGATAAAAACAAATAAATAAAAACTGATTATGAAATCAGGGGAGCAAACGAAACCTTAGATAAGGTTTATAACGTACAAAATATAAGATGGAAGGGTTTGCCAAGAGGAAGTGGTACGTGTTTACTCACCTAAAATTATTAAGTTATTTCACACACGCTCACATGCACCCTCCAGCCACACACACGCACACACCCAACCACTGAGAAGTTATTTAAGTAAGAATAAAACGCGATAAACTTAGGGTATACTATACAGCGAACAAAAAAATAAAATAAATACTAGAAAAGAAAAAAAATTACTTGCCACACCATATTGATATTTTTGTAATGATTGCCATTGCCAAATTGATCGATCTTCTAATCGTTAATTAAAATATAAAAGGAATATTCTGTTGAAAACATATTGCCATGCTGATTGTAGTTGGAGTCAAATGCCAAGTTGCCCAACCAAAAGATAGAATAAGGAAAAGATTTACATATTTATCCCGGGGAAGAGGAAAGCCGATTTGACGGCTTAACCATATGGCGAACCACGGCCTCTCGTCCGGTTACCATTCCATGTCGGATATGGGATCAGTTAGTTATTTTATTTTTTCGGAAGCATGGACTTGATGATGGAGGAAGCCGTAACCAGCCAGCGGTTAAGTGAACCACCCAACGGCGGCGTGGAGTCCAGCAATCCTCTCGCACATAACCACTCAGCATGGGATTCAAACCTGCGAACCCACGCAGAGTGATTAGAGGTGCGATGGCGAGCGTATTCCTAACGCTTAGCACGATTCTGGCAAAGTTGCCAAAATTGGGTGCATGAAGAGGTGGGCGAGACCATTTCATTCCCCAAATTAGAGCCTATTATTGCCAAATTATAGTCCAGATTGTAATAAGTAATTGAAGTTACCGCTAACAGTAAAATTACTATAATTAAGTAAAGTCGGATATGGAAATAAAGTGATTACTAAGGGTGTGAGTGCGGTTTTCCATTCTTGGGTATTGAATTTAGACAAGGATATAGGAATAGGGTTGGTATTTCACAGGATATCGGGGTCTTATTGGCTGACATTAAAATGGGAATGTTATAAGACCTAATATTCCGCCACCAGTTCTAAATACTTCATTTATTGCTTGGGTAATATTGAAAAACTGAATATCCTAATAAAAAAGCAGAAATATTATTAACTGATATTTGCCTCAGGGGTGTAAATTTGCAGACGTTGACTCATTTTGTTTGTTTCGGAATTAGCTGGTGGTGGCTGGTAGTGCTTACGTTAATACCATTTTCGATACAAGAATTACATGACTGGATGAGTTAGCTCCATTTGAATACCTGAAACTGACTTAATGCAAAGTCTAAAATACCTCATAGTGATGTCCAATCTTATTCTTGGGGAGTCATTGTAACACAAATTTGAAAAATCTACTCGATAAGATTCGTTCAACTAGTCTTGGGACTGAATAGGGGATGAGCAATTACTTTTCTGAGTAGGCCAGTCACAGATAATAGACTTGGTTACCTGGCCAGAGGCCCATAACTCATTATGAAAAAATTATGAATAAAAAACAGTTTATTTACATCAGCTAGGGCCCAGTGGTTCCCAACCAGGGTGCCGCGGCCCATTAGTGTGCCGCAAAAAGATTTTGGTGTGCCGCGAAGAGATGTCATTTTTTAATTTACCGTATTTCCCGGTGAATAAGTCGCTTTTCTAGACCCAATTTTTTGGCCTGATTTTGGGGGGCTCGTCTTATTAGGCGAGTATGAAAATTTTCATTTTTTTCGGTGTCGCCTTATTATGTATTAGGTAATGTTCTTTTATGGTGGACGCAATCGCGAGTTGAACACAATTAGATTAAAATTTAAAGACAGCTTGAATTTCCGTAGTTATTATGGATTGAATATCTCGCTACGAGTAAACGTCATTCATTAGGCTACTTTAACCAATGCGCAAACGCGGCGACCGCTCAAAAGGCATTGCATGGTAATTAGAGATTCCGATGTTGATGCGATTTTACTACCCCGACTTATTGGCAGGTTATATGCAAAATCCCATTTTTGCAGGCTTGAAAACGGGCCTCGTCTTATTGACTGGGTGGACTTATTCGCCGGGAAATACGTTATTTCAAGTAATTCCAATTTCCAATTCCTTGAATTCCACAAGAATTACCCCATGGCTCTTGCTAACAAACAGAAACATTAAATTTGAGGAGTCGTAATTCAGGTATTTGGGTAATGTTTTAATTCTAAGTTTTCCATAATGCGCACGAACACCGTTTCGTAAAATTGAAAATGTCAAACAAGGTAACAAATTATTGTGCGAAATTTTCTCCAAATTTGACTAGTAGAATTGCCATTATTGCCGATTTATTGAATTATTATTTAAACTCAAAATTACATTCAGGATTCACGCAATGACGGAAATATCTCACCAACATCAGAATGCCTAGCATTCTGGATGCCTGTTGTATGTGTATTAAAATACCCGATATTCGACAATTTGTCAAAAATATTCAATTATTCGATTCGATAAAAATTTTCTATTTTGCCCACCCTTGCGATCTGCAATCATGCCGGTAATCTGGCGAAACGCATGATAGCATAAACACTGATGCAATGCATTTTAGTAAAACCTTCATTAATTTTAGTATATTGCACTATTTCACAAAAGCGTGGTGGAATCGACGATTATTTTATATCTCGAACACAGAAACGGTTATTTTTCAGATAGTTTCTGCGGTCTGAAAAGTCGAATACGCGTTTCGACATAGTAAATGCTATGATCTTTGCCATCAAATTATGCTAAATTATCAAATTACGAAATTCATAACGTGAAAAGATTCGTCCATCGGTGAAAATTGTTTATAACAATTTTAAACCTATTTAGTGTTTTTAACGATAATAATTAATTGTTGTAATGAAATAGAGCAAGAAGAGCGATCATGAAACTATCTCGATTCGTGAATATTTTGAGAGATATTGGGTTGAGATCACACGAAATTGCTTTGTAACCATTGTGACGTAATAAGCTTAAATCATAAATTATTACGCCAAACGTCACGCTGCGGTTAACCGGCTAATTTTACCCGGTTAAAGTGTTTTTCCTGAAATTTCCAGCCCTACCGATGAGACATCCATCCAAACACCCTCGTAAAACATCCCTGTCAATATAGATTGTAAAAAGTTTTAATGAAAATAATCATTCGAAGAAATTGTAAACAAAAAAGAGAAAAAGGCCGAATAAAAATATTAAACAATTAAGGACAATAAAATTACGAATCTTGACATCTCTTTGACCAACCGCGGCCAGAGAAATTTTTTAAAATAAATTTGCTCGGAGCCAGGTCACACACTCACTCAGAAACAAAGTGAGAGTAATCTCTGAGCGGAGCTACCACTGAAGAACCAAGATCTACCGAGATTAAATAAAGCTTATAGCGTAGAATTGCGCATTGGTAAATTCCGATCAGAGCGCAATGGCACTACAAGGCAAGAGTATCAGTGGCCAATGGATAGAGCATGAAAACAGTTACTATTTATATACTGTTCATCTCCGGAAAAAGCTTGGCCAATGAAAACTAGTACTTTATCATAAAACCAAGCTTTTTTTACACTTGGCCACATAAAAAATGAGCAATTTACTTCAATCAGGAACGGCCATACTTGAACTATTGTGATTAAATACAATTAGTACTTTATTTACAAGGTCTGTCCAAGTACGGCCGATCTAGATTAAAAAATAAGAAAAGGCAGCTGAAAAAGACAGCACAAAAATATATAAAAAAGTAAAATGTTGACACGAAATATTTGATTGGTTTGAAATAACGAAGTCCAGGCACAGAGGAAAAATTAGAAAACTGTAAATGAAGCAAAATTACTACCATTTACCTGTAAATAAAAAGATATTTTCAGAGATACCTGTTTGTCAACAGGGTTTTATAATGTGCTCTCCTATTTCATAGAAAGTGTTCCTAGGAATTAAAATAAAACACAAAATTCTGGGTGAAATATTAAGCCACTCCGAGAAAAAAAATAGCCTTCTAGTAAGTAGCTTTATAAAGTACTGAAAAATTCAAATCAGTCAGCCTGTCCATTGCAGAAAAAAACGATTTTTAACAACAATAATTTAGCAAGAGAACTGCATCGAATAATATGAAATAATCTGAACAATATTTACTATGAACCTAATCCAAAGGACTCCTTATTGGGTGAAATCAATTAGCTCATCAGGTGTAGGAAAAAGTCAATTTTTAACAACAAAAAGTTAGCAAACAATGTATTTATTAGGATTCCTTTTTGTATGAAAAATAGATGGAAGTCATATTTATTTTCAAAAGCCATCATAATCATCAGCTGTAGCAAGAATGAGGCTAAAAGAACAAAATAAAGATGTTACAAGTCTTAATATTCCACAACTGTCCTAGATACTCCATTTAGTGCTTAGAATAATTTTTAAAAACTGGAATTCAAATAAAAAAGCAGAACGAAATTATTATTACCTAATATTTGCCTCAGGCGTGTAGATTTGACTTGGTTAGTTCGTTTCGGAATTACAGTGGATGGTACTGCTACTTACGTTATGGAAAACACCATTTTTGATACAAAATTCTACATGACTGGAGGTGTTAGCTCGATTTAAATACCTTCTCTTCAAGCTGGTATCTAATCATATTTTAAGCACATAATCGGCAAAGTACAAGAGTTCAAAAATCAAAAAATATATTTTCACTCATTCTCTCTAGGAAGCTATTTCAAAATGGAGCCCTCGTTCTGAAATACTAGAGTAATTATTTACCGAAATTTGAAGCACAAGGCAGACTCACTTATTCCCAAATCTTAAAACAAAATGATAAAACACTTCTAAAATACCAAAACCACATCTTTATATACCTTTACCTTTCCTAAATTACCAATGAAAATATGTATCGAAAAGTATTACTATTTAGAAATAGAAACTTTGGATCTTCATGATTTTTTATAGCTAACTGTACTCTATACTTTGAAAATGAACATGGGTAGGAAAATTAAATCTGCCAAAAACATCGTTTGCTATAAGTCAAATTATACACCATAAATGTTAATTTTATTAGTTTGAAAAAAAAAACTTTCACCCAAGGTGAAATAAGAGTAGACAATGCCGAACCACATAAACTTTGTATCTTTTAATAATAGTAGCAACTAACATATCAGTATCTGATTGTACAGTGCCTTCCTATGAGTGAAGCTACCTCATGAAAAATAAAGATTAAATAAAATATATCTTCAGGGAATTTTGCAAGTCATTGTGTAATCTAAATTTATAATTTTCCAGGCAAATATTAGCGAGAGAATTTAACTAGTCAAATGTGAAAATTTCTAATATTTTCAAAATAAAAGCTCCTGTTCTTTTTCAAATTGAAAGTGTGAATGAGCTTCATAATAAAATTCGAAGTTTGGGGCTTTCTGGCAAATTTTAACAGAAATTGACCGTTTGAATAATCATCAAAATTTGGGGTTTTCTAGGCAAATTTTAAAAGAAATTGAACGTTGGAATAGTCATCAAAATTTGGGGTTTTCTGGGCAAATTTTAACAGAAATTGAACGTTGAATAGTCATCAAAATTTGGGGTTTTCTGGGCAAATTTTAACAGAAATTGAACGTTGAATAGTCATCAAAATTTGGGGTTTTCTGGGCAAATTTTAACAGAAATTGAACGCTTGAACAGTCATGTCTTTAATACAACCATCACTCTTTATAAAACTCTCAATTAGTGCATTTCAGATAGTAAAGCGTAGAAGTCGTTAAAAGTAGCTCAAAACATAATAAAATAGATGAATATCTTATAAAATGCTGCTAAAATGACGTCCACACAACTCTTGAATACAATTTAACAAAAATTAGCAAAACTAAGTTTCTTTATAGGCAAAAACTTATGTCAAAAATGTAAATCATATTTGAACATACGGCTGACAGTTGTTTTGGCAAAGAAATGTCATTAAAATCATTTTTAGAGTGGTTTTATCCCATGTCATGAGAAACTAGTGTCCCCTATTTGAATACTTTACAAATGCCAACTCCACAAATTGCGATTTCTTATTTATTCGAATTAGAATACGCACAAATGCACATTTAAATGAAGGGATCATGCTTTTGTTAAAAGTAGAAACCTTTGTGAGACTGCAGTCTTTTTGAGGAAATTATTACATAGGAAACACTGCATTTGTTCACAAATATTCATAGGATAAATAATTCTGTCTTGCATGATTTCGATTATTCACCTAATTAATTACAGATACCAAAATACGTCCATTGGGATATAACATTATCACCAATTACAGTACAATGCTCTGTGTAATAATTAGGTTTTTGACACAGATTGCTTCAACTAACATGGCCTTCATATTTAGACTTTCAAAATGTAGAGCCAAGTATTTCCAAAATAAGCGTAGGGCAATGACATGAGAAACCTACAAACACGGTATCAATTATTATGTTACAATTCCTAAAAATCAAATTTTAAAAAACGGTGAATTATTTAGACATCGACAGTTTCAATTAACAAGATTGCTAGTTCGAATTGTAAGTTTGAGCTTTCATGATTAAGGCGATGAACTGCTTTACCTACAAACATGGCACCAATTAAATTGCAATTCTAAGATGCATTAGATTTTAAAAACAGTTCAATATATATGGTGTCCATGAAGTCCCTCTACAAGTTCGTCAGTAATTGTTTATGTATTTTTACTTCATTTAACACATCTGTGATGGCCAAAACAATATATGGTATCGATAAATTTCCTTTGCAATTTAAAAAAAATTACTTTATGGACAACCTATATACCATAGAGTGTTTCAATTAGCATGGTCTCTTATCTAATATGACTTTCATAATGTAAAATTACCATATTTCACAATCCATAACGCACATTTTGAATACTTTTTTTTTTTACAAAAATCGATCATGTGCTTCATAATCGCACCTAACCTATGAAATAAAAATCCAATTTGAGCAATTCATTGATGTACGTCTTATAGTCTGTAAAATACAGTACTTAAGGTTGTTTGAAGACAAATTAGCATGGCCTCCATCGTAATGTAGAATTATTTCCTTCTCAAATAAGCACAAGAAAATGAGAAACACAACAAAAACAAATTCTTAAATTCCCAACTCAAAAAAAATAAAAACATAAAGCTGTCAAAATAATAATAAAAGTACTTTCAAAGTTATTTTCATACTAGACTCGTGAAATATTATTTTGACAGAGTCGTGGTGTGTTGACAGTGGAATTAAATGATTTAATTACAGTTGAACATGAAATTCAATCAGGCATGACTTGCGGCGTTAGTACTTTCTAGTTTAAATGATAATATTCCGACTAAGCAAGCTTCAATGATCATGGGTGAGAAATGTGAATCCAGTTAAGATGAAACTAGATATAGATCAAAGACCGCCGACTTATCAATCTTGCGGTTTCGATTCTTCCGCTCTGACTCAATAGCGACATCACTAATTAATCAATAACTCTCTAGTTATACAACATAATTCATCCAAAATCAATAGGCTTCTGGTCAGAGATATGATGAATGCACATGCAAAATTTGGAGCAGATTTAACCTCGCTTTCGTAAGATATCGCGTAACATACGGAAGTGTCAAACGAATACCTATCAACATACTAACCGATCGAGATTGATAAGTAATCATTCTAACCAGTCATGCTCCATTGATTACTTTACAACAGGGGTCTGCAAACTACGACCTGCGGAGCAATATAATTCGGCCCACGATGCTTCACTGAATTATATTAACAAAATAGCTGTATTGACAATTATATGCCTTACGTGACAGAATTTGTTTTGAGACACTGGATTATATTATAACCTAACAAGTATATAATTCACAATCACTCATTTAATGAGCCTATAATTGATTATAATTAGACAAATGGCAACAGAACGAAAAAAATTTGATGCCGAGTCCAAATGGTTTAATGACGCAGAAAATATCCAAATGATCAGTCTTCGCGCACTGCTTGAAATTTAACTGAAATCTGTGTTAAAAGATGTGATTCATTGGCCATTACTTCGGTTTTTAACTTTCTAAAATATGTGCGGCCCGTCAATGACTTGCAACCTTTAATTTTGGCCCGCGAATGACAAAAGTTTGCCGACCCCTGCTTTACAAGATCATGGACAATAGTGAGCACCTAGTACAGATGAAATAATGCTGACTGGTCATGCTCCATTGACAATTAGAATGAAAAATATTCTGACTGGTCATGCTCCATTGATTACAATGGTAGAATATTATCATAACAAGATTGTAAGCTTAATTATTGTTGACATGTAAGAGATCGTAGGTTGAAACCACTGTTAATCCATTTCCAGTATGTGATCATATTTCACTTAGTGCAATAATTGATAGAAGTCACATTGAAATGAAACCTTGCAACGAGATCCAACTGATTGGGTCCATAGTTTTTATGGTTAAGTGTTATAAATAGGCATGTGCAACCTTTAAAACAGGAGGACCAGCTACAAATAACTGGGTGTAACCGTGTTTCGCGAGCCGCACACCATTCAAATTGGCGTTTCTCCGCATGGCTATTAATTTTTTCTTTGCAGACCGGCCCGCAGGTTGCACAACCCTGTTATAAATGATGGTGTATGTTCTGGGTTGATGCAAAACTCAAAGTGTCCTGTATAAAATTTGACGGAAGCTAAATTTTTAAAGACGAGGATGGGAAGACCTACAGCAACTTGCAAATGAACACTTGAACAGTTTTTCATTTTGACACAAAAAAAGATGTCAAGTGTGGATTACTAATGAGCTCAGTTACAATAGTTGTACTGCATTTGATTTTCACAAAGTTGGCAATTTCCATCATGTTGTGAATACACCTTATGGAAGTATTTTTTGCTCGTTGCAAAGGGAATAGGAAGTTTAGAAGTTTGTAATAAATCAAAATGTCCATATTTTACCACGGCTTAGATTAAGAGGATAGTGTGTTAGTTCTGGCTACATAAACGACAAACTTTACCTACAAATCAAATAATCTATTTCAGCCGAAAAGCCCGACAAATTGTAAAGAAATATTGTGACATGGCACATAAAGTCATGTGACACCATGCCACAACACACCAAGTGATGGTTTGCACTATTTTCCTGTCACGAAGTAAAATCTGTCCCCAGTGAACACAAAAACATTTTTCATGCCATCATGCCACGCCATAAGTGTTGGCACCATTTCCATGTCACGGACGATAATCTGTCCTTAGTGAAGATGCATAGGTGTCTTGAAATCATGACTTTCCATTAATTCGGAATCAAACTATAAAGTACAAATGGCTTATATTCTTTCGGCCACTTTTTTAGGCTTTTTAGTTCAAATTTCCAGATTTTGAACGAAAATTGAAATTCTATCTCAATCATCATCTTCGTAACGTAAGTGTCGTCTGCGTCGTTTGAAACGACTGAGCTTCCATTGCGAACAAGGCAACATGAAATGACCGTTGTATATACAATGCACTGTCATATGTTCGTTGTACGTTAGATTTGGCAAAAGCTGAAAAGAAATAAATTTATTTTTTAGTTGCAATATCAAGTTACTAATTTCATTACAAATATTCTTATAATTATTGTAATGAAGCAATGGCGTACAACTGCTACATTATGAACGTGTTTCCCCACGACAGGAAAGTCAACGAAAGCCCAAAACAGAACAAATTGGCCAAACGAATACCATCTTTCAAATACACACATGTATTTTAAATTTCCACCACCTAACCATTCCTTCGGGCCTGTAGTTGTAGCCTTGGAACTGCTAGAGTCTAGTGATATCGAACTCAGCAAATTACTAATAATCTCATTTTAATGAGTTCCCAGCTAAGTGCTTTAATGCAGAACAATTCGAATAATGACTTTCAAATCAAAAGATGCCTGCCTGTATACCGTCGGCAGGGTCAAATGTCATAGTTATGTAAACTAGTTCAAGAGTACTCCTGCACAACAACACGAATGTATTTCTATGTACACAAATACATTTGTGTTAATGTGTAGCAGGACTCTTGAATTGCATATTATGTTTATTCCTGTTACAGCATCCTTGCATTATAAACATACAGATCCATAAGCGCGAAGGCATTTAGGAAGGGTAGGGAGTTAGTCCTGCGTTAACTCCACTAATAATTATGTGAAGCACAGCTAGATTTTGACGCCGCAATTAAGATGAGGGAATATTTAAAAAAAATCAGAAGCCCCGTCAAATTTTATCAAATCATCGATGATTACCTTTGGTGTGATTAGAAAATATTGTGACGTGTCTCTCTCAGAAGATGATCGGACAATAATCTCAAATACCCTTCTCTCATTGTATGGATCCATTCCCTGCGATAGATTGAAAAAAACATCAAAATAATAATTCAGTGTCTCCAGTTAAATTTTTAATTTCCTGTGATAACAAATAATAAATCATCCAGAATTGTTCAATCTTTTTGTTAAATTATTGGTTTCTAAATTTTACTATAGGAGTACAGATAACTGAATTTAGTATTTTTCCTGCATATCAAAGCAAGCAAAGTCACATATTACAAAGAAAAGAATGATTTTCGATATCAACAATATAGACAAGGTTTTGACAGACAATAGTAGAAAGATTGTAGAATTAGTACAATAAATCTTCTGTCATTTGGTGACAGATATCACTTTAAAAAAAATTGTGCTGTTGTCGTTGACGTTGACACAAAAAAACTGCCTTGCCTTGTAAAGAAATAACTTTCAAATTTGCTTTGGTTGCTATTCCCATACCTGACATCGACTGATAACTGGATGAGGGGGCGCAGTTCGCAGTTGATATTAAGCAGCCCTATAAACTTTCATCGCCCCAGTAACAAATATAATAATGGTGATTATGTTGAAATATAAATTAGGAAAAATAGATATTAACCTGATTTATCTCATCAACAAGTCGGAACGGGCATTTCCTGAGAGACTGTAAAGCCATCAAGTACAGCATTGTAGAAACGCTTCTCTCTCCACCACTTTGGCGAAATGGGTTCAGTTCCTGAAGATATTCGGTTATAAAAATTTGATCATTGGTGATTGAGTAATACCAATTATAAAACGTAATTCGTTGTTCATGTTAAATAGAAAAGGATAAGTGATTGCAAGTGCATACATCTTGAGAAAAAAATTGAACTAAAAAAGAAACTGGAACCATTGGTGGTTATATGGTTGAGTTATCTGTTTTCTTTAACAGGATAGATATAAAATATTCAATCATAGGTGGTCAAAGAAGGATAACTACAAAAAATTATAAAAAGAATCTCTTGATCTTCACTTGAGCAGTAAAAGGTTCATTGCAATGTCATCCATCGATAGATAGAAGTCAATACTAGAATAAAATTGATCGAAAAAATAAACTCAAGTTGCATGGAGAAAAACTAGTTACATTGTGTATCCATTCCAAATGAAAATGTATCGTCAAAAAATTAATTAAAAGCCTCGCTCCCTACAAAACAATAATATCTGTACTGTACATAGCCAGGTTTCATGTAACGCTGCATAAAAAACGACTCATAAAATTCTAACCTGTAGTGATGATGAACTCCTGAATTTCACTCGGATCCTGATGCCATATTTGTCATATTCCTCCTAAGAAACAAAAACATGAATTCAATATAGGAATATATATGCAGTTTTCGTACTTAAAGGGGTGCTGTTTGCAGAGGGTTGCCCCACCCCTTTCTAAAATGTAAAGAAAAATTAATTAAAAAATCTTAAAATGAAATAATGTCTAGTGGCTTCAAACCTTTTATGTCTTGTGGCCCTCTTCCGGATCCGACTGCGCTGTGGCCCCCTTGGGGTGCCACCGACCCCTGGTTGGGAACCGCTGGTCTAAAGGATATGACCCTAACTCTAATAACTTTCTAAACATTGATACTGGCAAGATTTTCTTGAAAGATAAATAACACCGTTGAGTAACCTTACCGGATTGTCAGCATGAAGATCAACCTCTCCTGCACATCCCATTTGTGCAAAATATTTGGAAAACTTGCCATTGATTCTGAACAAAAATAGAAAATAAATTTTATAATAGAATAATACTAGTTCATATTTTTGGTATTAGTTTGAAAACCATTCATCTTTTATAACATTATTTTGCTCTGCTCATGAGACGTTTTCTGATTACTATCAATCCTTCCTCCAAACAAACCAACAAAGATAGATGAAATTGAATAGCTCTGTAAAAAGCTACTTTGCGATATCGTTAGACAGGGATGGCCAATTCGAATAAAGTATTCGAATATCAGAATTAGCGTTCATAAGAATATGGGATATTTGTATGACGTCACAATTTACTGCTAAACTTTATATGTATATTCATTGTATGAAATGAAGTTGTATTTTGAAGAATTTTATATCAGTTATTAGGATTTTTTTAACGAGTTGGCATTGTATTAAAATTAAATACATCAGGCAGTTTATCTCGTACATTTAGGCCACAGGTCGCCGTGGACCAAATAGTAATGTTTTTATTTTGACGTAAGAAGAAGCAATTAAATTATTATATATAGATATTTTAGAATCTCGTAGTTGTCACGGATTGAATAATTTACGTGACAGGATGATCATTATACGCTGAAAAGACGGCTCTTTTAACGAGCGCGGAATCGCGGTGGATGTTACAGGCGGCAATGGGAATTTCCAATTTTGAAAATCCTGGCTGCGCGCCTGGCAGTGGTGGTCATCTATCCTCTAACTTGTTGCTAATTTCAGACTTAACAATATGCTAAACATAATAACCACAAACTATCAAGTACTTTGTATACATATACTGTAGATTTGTGGCTTTACTCTGATATTTCTATTGAAGCTTATTACTTATCGATCTTAAGATCGGTAAGTATATTGATAGGTATTTGTCTGTGTGTCTGTTAGATGCGTTCTTCTGTCAACCAAAGGCCGAGATGAAGTGTGAAATTTTTTTTTTATTGAAGCCATGTTTTTACAATGCAATTCTGACATACGAGTCCTTTAAGACACGTTTCTTATTGTGTGTGAAAGCTCAGCAAATTGTCTGAGTGATGGATTCTATTTTGTTAAGTAATTTACATACCATAAGTATTCCAGATTCTATTTAAAAAAATTAATCTGAAATCATCAGGTATTCAAAAATGTCCAGCCATAGAAGTTGAGGTGATCATCAAATTAAAACAATTTTCGGTTGGCCACGCTCTTGCTCTACTCACTCTGTTACTAATTTCTTTAGGCATGTCAGCCATCGTGTTCTAACTTCATCAATCTCTGATCGGCTTCTGTTAAGTCGTGATTGTAAATCGTCGACTCGTTTCTGCAGAACTTCAATTTCTCTCTGTCGACGATTGTATTCATCAACAACCTGGAGAAGGAAGAATGATAAGTAAAGTTTGTTTGTTCATGTTGTACATAAGCACATCTTTAAACACTTAAAAATTAAATACATCCGTAGTGTGTGTATCAGGTTAGAGTTAGATTATACTTTTATTCCGATTTTTCTTATTTTAGTTCTATTACAAGTTCGGGGACTGTATGTGTTAACTAAGTGAATACACCCCCTGCCCATAGGTTTCAGTCCCATTTTGGTACACACACTTCTTGCCGAATGCCAAATGAATTACAAAAAATTTGCCAAATTTAGGATGGAATATTATTTCCCATTTCAAAAATTAAAGCAATAGATATTTAAAAATTAACTTTACAGCTTTTAGGTTTTGAGAACTTGAAATTAATTGGCCCATCATCTCTGGAGAAAATAGATTTTTTCACAACAGCATTACTCCAAATATTTAACAACAATTTAATAATACAAATCATTGTTCAATTGCGTAATGAAAAAAAAACGTTCATTTCTGTTAAAATTTATAAAAGTTGGTGTGAATACATAAAATTAAACCAGGCATATATTGATAACTATTCAAGAGTCAGCCATGAAGCTTTATGGACATTCTGTATAGCTGCAATATTCAATGTTACCTGAGGATCAGTAGCAGTACAACATTCAGCTCTTGCTCTAAAGTCATGTATTAATGTATCCATCTCTTCTACGGTATCTGGTAGGGTTGAGAATAACTGAAACAAATGAATAAATAAAGATTCTTTATAAGCAATACAGGTCTAGCAATAGAGATATTTTTTTAAATAGGAAAGACTTTTATATTATATCAAAAAAAGAAGATCAATCATATGGCGTAAAGCAAACGCTAGGGTATGGTAATCAGTAACCAATTATTTGTTTACGATGCATGAAATTGACAGTGGAGAGAAGTCCGAAGCAACCAGCGGTTACATAAACTTGCACATTTTGCACAATTTATCTCCCACAGATTCAACAGGATTCAAAAATGTGAACACACCCAAGGTAATCAATCAGAGGAGCGATGGCAGGCAAATTCTAACTCTTGGACAAATGCACCAATCGCAGAGTCTTGAGAGTATGACTGACCAAATGATTTAAATATTCAATCCCGTATTGAAATGCAAACTACACATGTTGAATTCGGGAAGGTCAAAACAGCCAAAAATATCAAAACAATTATTCTTGATGTTGTGGATATAATATAGAGCTGTCAGTAGCAATATGATGTAATTTGTCGGTGTTCTAAATTCGCTAGACCCTAGATTAATGAAGCTCTTGGATACAATCATACACAAACAGAAGTTTAAGTGTTATATAAACTTACTCCATATTCATGAAAGTAATTAAGAAATTTAGAAGTTAGCTTCACTCACTTTCATCAAATCTTCGCCAACTTTCCTCATTTCATCACAATTTTCCCCGCCTGTCTTTTGTTTTGCTTCAACGAGCAGTTGTTTCGCTCGTAATTGAGAGTCTTTTTTGTCTCCTTCTGCTTGCTCAAGTTTCCTAAACAATACAAAATAAAAATGAAATTGCAAAATTCATTACCCTACACTGCGCTGGGGAGCTTGCATAAAATCTGCAGGGGACATGGATTCGTATGTAACATAACTTGCGGACAAATGTCAACAATACAATAGCCATTTATCGTCTAAAATGAACTAATTTATTCAGTGGTAATTATCATTGAAACTACTGTTGGAATCCATCAATAATAAATCAAAAATATTATGAAATATTCTATTCAGCGTATCATTTGAATTACTAATCAAATAAACATCCCCTCTAAAAAAAATTGAAATTAGGATGAAATAACAAAATTATTACGATCGTCATGGCAAGTCACAAAAGATCTGAAAAAAAGTTAGAACGGGAAAATATGGTCTTACTTCCTGCTCTCCAACAACCTTGCATGACCCTGCCTTATTTTTTCTTCAATTTTATTTTTCTCAGCAATCGCTGCGACATATTTTACAGTGGTGTGTGCTTTGTCCAAACTCAGGATTGTACATTCCTGAAAAATATAAAAAGCAATATTAATTATAATTTTGCTGTTTAACTTTCAGTTGACAATTTGCAACATTGCTTTGAGTAATGTCACAGAAAAGCCACAAGTATTGTTACCTTTATATTCTTCGAGAACTTCAAGGCAAGCTGTTTCTTTCCCATATAGATTTTGCCGAGAGATTTCCGCAGATCCTTTCGTAACGATTCAATGTCCACAGTGGATGCCTGGAGTTCTTCAATTCTGTATAGCAAACAAGTAATAAGTCATGCCTTTATTTGACTCTGAACAAGACTCTATAAAAGCAGCCCAGACCAATCTAGACTCTGCCTCTAGCGGCCGGCCCCTAGGTAAATTGAAATTGAGAGCCCTGTATTAAATTAATCCAACAAAATATAAAGTAAAACGTGCAAAAACCTACTAAAACAGCCAACTTACGTTTTTAACTTCATCTGAATATTATTTTCCAAAGTTTTCTTTCTTGATTTCAGTTGCTGTAATTCCTTCTTTTGCGATCGTAACTCATTATCTCGTTTTTCTAGAACTTTCTTCTGTCGTTGGATATCTGCTATCTTTTCTGTTACTTCTTGATTAAGTTTGTACAGCTCCTGTAAATGAAAAAGTATGAACATATGAATGAGCGTATTCTAGACGTCAAGAAAATATAATGTTGATAACATAAATCGGTACTCCCGAAGTATGTGAACCAAGATGGCGGAGACCAGAACGTAGTATGTGTACTAGGTTAGGGTTAAAACATAATTTTATGCCAATTTCCCTTATTTTAGTTCCATTCGGAGTTCGAGGACTAGCCAAATGAGTCTTGTAGTATTTGTACCTGAAATTATGGCCCAACCCTAACCTGGTACACATACTACGTTTCGGTGTCCGCCATCTTGGTTCACATACTACAGGAGTACCCATAAATTTTGACTTATGCAAATTAGTGGTTCTCAAAGTTGATTGACCGGGGGCCATATTCGCGGGCCAAGAGCACCTGCAAGGGGCCGACACCGGTACTTATATTGAAGATACCGGTATAAATTAGCGGTATCTGGAACGCAAATATAAAAAAACATAGGGGGCTCCAGAAGTATGCGAACCAAGATGGCGGACATTGGAATGTAATATGTGTACTAGGTTAGGGTTAGGCCATAATTTTAGGTACAAATACTACGAGAGGCACTTGGCTAGTCTTCGAAGTCATAGCAGAACTAAAATAAGGGAAATTGGAATAAAATTATGGCCTAACCCTAACCTGTTACCCATGCTACGTTTCGATGTCCACCATCTTGGTTCGCATACTTCAGGAGCACCAAACATAAATTATTTCACTTAAGTTTGGCAGGCCATATTAAATCGTTATGTGGACCATAATTGGGCAATGGAAGCCACTGCTTTGAATAGACTGTTTGAATCACCTTCTAAAATTGATGCTTATTGAGCATTTTTATAGAAAATTTCAACTCTCAGGGAAGATTAGTGAATTTCGTATGAATGGACCAGCTTTACGGGGACATGGAATTTGAACCCATAATCCTACTTTTGTCATCTCATTTTCATTCAGGCTTTCGGCTATTGAATCGATGCTTTTATGAACTGTACCCAAAAGATTGTTAATTTTAATCCAAAGTAATTCCATCAACTCAAAACAAAAAGGTACCTTCTTCCTGTTTTCCACTTCTAATATTTGATCAGGATCAACATTGGTTGTGAGATAATTCGGTTGTTTTAACGACCTGAAGAAAGATAGAGAAAAATAAAATATCTCAGTGGAGATCGTTGTTCTATCGGTACTCATGTAGTATGTGAACCAAGATGGCGGACACCGGATCGTAGTATGTGTACCAGGTAAGGCCATAATTTCAGGTACAAACACCACAACTTGGCTGGTCCCCGAACTCGTAATAGAACTAAAATATGGAAAATTGGAATAAAATTATAGCCTAACCCTAACATGGTAAACATAATACATAGCTTTGAAATAAATACCTAAAGTGATGATGTTGTTCGCCTGTATTGGCCGTAAATTGAACATTTTGTGAGATAAGACTATGTACCAGTAATTCGAAGCGTAGCACATAAACATTATTGCTTTTGGGACAATCATCTTTTTTAGTTGGCGCTGATAAGAATGCGTAATACAATTACATACCTGTTCGCAACAGTTGAGTTTCCACTATACTTTGATTTTCTGACAGAAAAACGGATTCCGGGGATCACTTCTTTACTGCGAGGTTTTTGTATGGATGGAATATAAAATAAATTCTGGCCACTGTGTTTTGTCACCTAAAACAGAATATTAGTATCAGATTGAGAGATTTATTTTTTCATGATATTGTATGGATGAATGGATCGTTATTGTATATTCTCCTAACAATGAAATCAATTTTAAATTTGCAGTACTCAAAAAATCAATGTCTGCAAACAGTCGGGCCAAACGTTCTAATCACTTAGCCGTAACTTTAACTAAAAGTACTAGATTGAAATTCCGATAGCGATAGGTATAGCGAGTGTCGAGTAGTCATGCCGTATTAGCTTCTTAGTTTTGAAACTCAAAGCTGAAGGAAAATTTATAGTATTTCAATAATTGGACAAAATAGATAATAAATTCATAATATTTCAGTAATCGGACAAATATTTTCACTTGGAAGCGAGAAGGTTTCCTACATTTATATTCCTCTGGAGTTTATGGGTTATCTGAATCAATTTTGATTCAATTTGAATGTTTGTTTCATTTTCTATCTCTGGTTAATATATCAATCATTCTATATCACCCACCTGCTCCACAATCTCCATCGTCTTCTGGGTCCCGATGGGTACCCTGTGAACCCCATATTGTTTGCATAGAAATGACATTACTGGATCAGGTGCTGTGAACATTTCTCGGAGGTAACTTGTGAAGCCCCAATCACTGTTTGAACGAAAAAGAACCATAAATTGCGAATGAGATATGAATATTTGGTACTCCTGTTGTATGCGAACCAAGATGGCGGACACCAGAACGCAGTATGTGTACCAGGTTAGGGTTAAGCATAATTTTATACTAATTTTTCTAATTTTAGTTCTATTACGAGTTCAGGGACTAGCCAAGTGACTTCCATAGTACTTGTACTTGAAGGTATGGCCTAACCCTAACCTGGTACACATACTACGTTTGGGTGTTCGCCATCTTGGTTCACATACTACTTGAGTACCCCTAATTTAACACAAAAAACACAGAGAAACCACTAAACTGAAACTTGAAATCAGGACTTCCCAGATAAGCCTAGCTTAAATCAATAATTACAAGAATCTTGAACATCACAGTTGAAGAGGAGGAAACCTAGAACACCAAAATTTTTTTTTCAGTTCAAACACTCAAAATATAAACCGAACAAAACTGTACCTTAGTTGCTCAATAGGACGCTGAGGTTTGAAATCTTTCGGTTGAATTAATTTTCCGTTCCTGTCTCTTGGTGCTTTTACCACGTTGATCTTTAACTTTCGCTTCCCACGAAGCTCAGATACAAGACTAGAAAAATTTTTTTTTATTTTATTTTATGGAATTCTGTTATCGTGGCTTCGAGAGATCTAAAACAAAATTTTGCAAACATTTTTCAAGGGCAAAGTGACACTGACGCAAAAGTGAAGCAAGTTATTTAAAATTTAAGTAACAGCCTTCGATTGAAATAAACTTATAAAGTATTTGTAGCCGATTTCGAAAAATAAGTTCGAATTTGGAACACAGGGAATAAAATCGTGAAAAAATTTTTGCAACTTGGGAGAACATCAAGAAGAATTAGTTATTTCATAAAACTTTGTAACTTTGTTCAAGCGAGGCTTCACACTTAGATAGTATAGTAGGCTAGGAATGAATAAGTTTTCATATTTTGACAATGGGAACCAAATTAACCACAACCTAGGTGAGTTCGCCTACATCAGGGATGTGCAACATTTTTTGTAGGCGGGCTGTATAACAAACTTCAGATATCCAGCTGGGCCACACAAAAAAGTTAGCAGAGAAGAGAATGCAGCTATCGTTTAGCTTGACACTGATAATCGAACAGGACAAAAAGGCGAAAGATTTAACACAGTGACAGGAGAAAAAAACATGTATTTTATCTATTCGAGCGCTTTTTCAAACGTAAACTGTCAAATTAGGATTTTATGTTGGATGGAGAAAAATTTAAGACTGAGAGGGCTGCCCAACTGCACTAACTATGAAACCCTGCCTGTATGTTCCAAATGAAAATAAAGTAGTGAACTTACAGAGCATTATCTTCAGGATTCTCACAAACGAACGCCATCATATCTCGAACTGCAACATGGTTTTCAAGTATTTCGGCACATTTATCATCAGTCATGTTCAACTGGAAAAATACAGATTAATAATAAATGCTGTGATAAAAAAATCTTGATACTTGGAAGGACATTTTTACAACAAATTCTACTCGCACGCAGGACAAAAGAGGTTGTCACTAACAAAAAAATAGAACACTAAAACCTGATGACCTCAAAGTCTCAAACTTCTTACCAGTAGCATGATTGGTTCATAGACATTTCCTTTAAAGTTTTGTTTATTTTTTCTGAACCATTCGACAGCTTCGTACATGTCTTTGTTCATCATTTTCAACCATTCCAACCGTCTGTTGCTCAGGTTGTTCAGGTGAGCAATCTTCCTATCACAATCTGAACATGGAAATAGACTGTCTGTAACATCATAACACAGGGTGTTCATAAAATCCCTTTAGAACAGGGGTCGGCAAACTTTTGTCTTTCGCGGGCCAAAATTAAAGGCTGCAAGTCATTGGCGGGCCGCACTTATTTTTAGAAAGTTAAAAACCGAGGGAATGGCCAATGAATCACATTTTTTCGTTAAATTCCAAGCAACGCGCAAAGACTGATCATTTGAATATTTTCTGCGGCATTAAACCATTTGCACTCAACACCACCTTTTCAAGTTCTGTTGCCATTTGTCTAATCATAATCCATTAATAGGCTCATTAAACGAGTGATTGTGAATTATATACTTGTTAGGTTATAATATAATTTAGTGTCTCAAAACAAATTCTGTTACGTAAAGAATATGATCGTCAATACAGTTGTTTTGTTAATATAATTCAGTGAAGCGTTGCAAGCCGGATTATATTGTTCCGTAGTTTGCCGACCCCTGCTTTTTAATTTCAATTTTGTTATGAAGTCAGTTCTCAATATATCTTAACCAGATTCGTTGTTTTTTATTCGGTAATTATCTAATACATCTGTGAGGGTCAAAACAATATATGGTATCGATAAATTCCTTTTTCAATTTTAAAAAAATTCAAGAACTTATTGACACTGCCAAGGTTCTGTGGCACCCTAGGGTTCCGCCAGTACAGTCGAAAGATTCCGCGTTTCAATTCAATGAGTGCATAGTAATATATGTATTTTGCTTAAATATAAACAAATACTCATTAGGTTCGCTACTATTGTTAAACTTTCTATACTTTGAAGATCATTTTGTTTTGCCAGTATTAAGTTTTCTTTATATTATATTCATTTATTTTTTTTATACAATTTTGACAATAACAAGGATTCCTTGAACCTCCTGAATGTTTCATTGGGGTACTTCATAAAATTTATAACATGGCATATAACTTTATATAATTTATTTTAAAAAGAGAAATTGGAAAATACCTAAATCTAGTCAACTTATTTCCAGATTTGAAACTCTTAAAATTCATTTTTTGAAAGTAGAGATTTTAAAACCAAAATTCATCCAAGATCCAGATCAACATAGTTTACAACATGACCTTACAGACTTCCAAGGGCTAAAGTGTTGAGTAAAATTCCCTAAACTGAGAGCCTTGACAAGGATGGCCAAAACTGAATAATTCGCTATTGCGAATACATTCTAAAATTTTTTTTCTAGAATATGAAATATTAAATACATTCTGGAATGGGTCCGTTCCTCTAGAAAAATTCTTCCTAACAATTGAAATTCATAGAAATCAAATTTGGTTATGCAGAATAATTAGATAAACATTGTTTCAATCAGTATTCTCTATTTTATTCTGTCAAAAATTAACTATTTTTTGTGTATGATAAGATAATAAATCATTGAAAGACATTTTCAATTAAAAATATTCTAAATTATTCTTTAATCACAACCAAATTTGAATGTATTCGAATCATTTTGGACATCCTGGTCTCAAGTCAAGTCGATTCTCTTGGTCTTTGATAAATTGAAAATCGATACCAACTCAAATTGAGTTAATGACTCGCATCTTCTGGAGTATAATAAACAAAACACTGAGTTTAATAAACAAAATACCTTTCAGATCAATTCTAAATCCCTACCTTTCATTTCTCTAACTCTTCCTTGGTTTTCTTCCTGCAATGTGTTGACATCAAATTCAATGTTGTTTATTTTTTTCATCCCGACGTGAATTTCTTTCGATATTTCATCAATCTGAGGTTGAACGTCTGTTGTTGACAACTCTGACATTTCTTTCTTCCAACTGTCGACCATCAGATGACATTGCTCAAGTCTAAATTGAAAAAGGAAATTATAAAAAAAAGGAAAGAGATGTCTTTGCTAAGATAATGAATCCTCAAACAGGACTCTCGGCTCCCTGGATGGCCATAGAGTGATTCTCTAGGGAGCGGCTCCCAGCTATTTCTCCTGCGGCTCTCATTATCCTTTAAAAATTGATCATTTTCAATGCAAATGACTTGAAATTGAAAGACTGAAGTGCAGTAGTTGAATTGATGTCATTTGTTGTTATATATTTGCTGAAGAATGCATTCATGACGATTGCGCCTCGCTTTTTCAGACTTCAGAATTAAAAGTCAAAGCCAATGTCAAGTTTATCGTTGAATCAGTTTTTACCCCGAGTTTTGTTGATGTTGTTATTTTAAAATACATACTATTGCGTTGTTTTCATGCGGCTTCTTGCAACTATAAGGTTTGAAATTTGGCTCTGACACTAAAAAAAGGTTGAGAACCACTGCTTTAGAGCGCACAACTACATGATTGTGAAGATGACTACATTAATGTGAAGTATTTTTTTTTGCTTTCGTTTGTTGTTTTTTCATTAATAAACATGGCATAAGGTAAGTGTTGAAAACGTGTTGAAAGCGAAGTATGAATTTTCATTTCCATTCGGGCCACAAGTGTGCAGAGTCTTTGAAAAGGGGGGCAACCGATCAGGATCAATCTTTCATTTCACGTTAGGAAGCTATGATTCATGGAATCTCTGACCCAACTTACTTTTTTAATCTTTGCTGTTCATATTTTTCTTTTTCTTCAAATTCAATTTCTTTATCTTTAATACTATCTTCAACTGCACTTATTTGATCGTGAATTTTCTTGGTTGCATTTGCCGCTGCTTTTAATTTTTCACCCTGATAAAATAAATTAGGTATTATATTCTTTGAGTTTGAAGTATCTTTTTTGGGCAGAATACCTTGGAATTAGTCCATGTAAAGCTGAAAAAAATTGAGAAGATTGAAGCAAATACTCAGTAGAAATACTACAAGACACATAATTCAGTGACAACTTGGGCAATGAAGTCAAATAATGGTATATTTTGGCTATTATCACAGAGAGTGTTAACATTTTGTCCAGGTGATTGTCATCCTGGGATAGCTGTGCTTTAATCCTATTTCCCACTTGTTAACTGACCAATGAGAGCACAGGATGAGGGTATGGCATTATGGGCAAAACTGCTCAAGCATGCTTCCTGGGTATAAATACTGCCATGCTAGTCTCCAAAAATCTTTGAGTACCTTGGTATGGCAGAGGCAACATGTATCTTATGTTTGACTTCATATTCTGTTATTTTTGGTGACAATTGAACTGTTTATATTATGCATTGCTAGTGTTCAATAAAACAAAATAAAACAATAAACAAAAAATCAATAAGCAGGTGTCACTTGTAATAGAACCAAACAAAACTTTTGACAAAACAAATCCGACGCCAAAATGTCACCTTTTCGAATTCAGAAGTTTATATTTTCAACTTGAGATTAAATGAAGATGGGATCGGAGTGAAATTATTTTATCGAAACTGAATTTTTATTTGGATCAGAGTGAAAAAAAAACTTATTATAACTTCACTGTTTACAAGGTGCCAGAAATTAGAAATATGAAGATGAGGCGTAATAGGAAATCATTCTTGGAGTGTTTAAATGTGGATTGATTTCCTATTATTGCAGTGTGATAATTGCTCTATTCGTTTCTTCGGGAATTGAAAAAGGGGCATGCAGCCAGATTGCCACTCTTTTCATTAGGACCAGACAGCAAAAATTGGAATGTTGTCGACTTGCGTTTCTTTGTATACATGTTCTAATCTAGTGCTTCTCAAACTGTGGGTTGCGCCCTACAAGAGGGGCGTAAACTATTTTTTGAGGGGAAATGAAGCTGATTAAAAATTAAAATATTTGTTAGATTTTTGGCCTGATTATGGGGGGAGGGGGGGTCGTCTTATTAGTCGAGTATGGTAATCACGAGTTGAATACAATTAGATTAAAATTTAAAGACAATTCGAATTCCCGTAGTTATTATGGATTGAATATTACGCTACAAGAAAACATGATTATATTCTATTTTAACCAATGCGGCGACTGCTCAAAAAGCATTGAATGGTAATTTGCGATTCCAATGTTGACGCGATTTTTTACTACCTCGACTAATTGGCAGGTTATATGCAATAACCCATTTATTCAGGTTTAAAAACGGGCCTCTTTTCATTTACTGGGTAGACTTATTCGCCGGTAAATACGGTACTTTCGTCTTACTATCTGTTATTTGTATGTTATTGTTAGATAGTCAGTTTTGAGGTGGATCGCGAGACTTGACAAATTCTAAATAGAGGGTGAGGCTTGCAAAGTTTGAGAACCATTGTTCTAATCTATGCCAAGTCTGATTGTTTTCTCATAAATATATTCGCAGTCAAATATTGTGACTTCTTACATTATCAAAGCAGGTACCGCATGAACAGTACGTTCAAAAAAAAAATGTAAAAAAACAAAACTTATTCAAACCTTCAATCTCATTTCTTGATTGATTTCTTCTGCTCCTCTTGCAGATTTATCGAGTTCTTTTTCATAGGAAACAGAATCTTTCTTGATTTCATTGCATTCTTTTTTCACTTGCTCCCAATGTTGTTTGAGTTCAACAAACTTCTTCCGTGCATCTTCATAAACCTTTATAATATAGAATTAAAATAAACTTTGTGTTGACTTATGATCTGATTTACATTTTTTCTAGGTGATTGTCATCCTAGCTTTAATCTCATTTTTTACTGTTCAACTCACCAATGTCAAGTTGAGGATTTAAAATTGTAACTCAAGATGAACCATGACTCAGATCCCTCCGAACATGTATCATCAACCAGTTCAAATCAATAATGAAAATTTTTAGGTATTTCATTATTATTTTTAAAATTAATTTGAAAACCTATGGTACAATGTTAGTCAATCAAATGATTTCGAAATCGCTCAGAAAATACTCAAGGATTTGAGATCGGAGATTCAGAAATGTGGCTCAAGTTAAGTCACGACTCTCACCTTCAATTTAACTAAATTTTATCACTTTATATCCTTTTTGAATGATTGAACATCCTCACCCGGATTTCCTACTCAGTCAAAAAATTTTAAAATAGCCTGAAAATGTCCCAAATAGAGGATATAATGAATGAGACTCAAGACAAGTCATGGCACTCATGTTTAACAACTCATTTCCTTTTTAAAACAACTGAAAAAATGACTCAAATCGAGGGTTTAAAAAAATGTGAACCAATTCAAAGATGAAACTGCCCTGATTTTTTAATGTAATTCTTCTCAAATTATAATCACTTACCGTCCAAGCTCTTTTCTTCTCCAAGTCTGCAGCTTTTTCAAGAAGATTCTTCCTCTCCTTGAATCTTACAACATCCTGTTCCATTCTCTCATTTTTTCGTTTCATCATATCGAGATTCTCAATTTCCGATAAATGTTTTGTTTGAAGTTGTTTTTCACTTCCTCGAAAGTCTTTGAGTGACATGTGGTCTTTGTACGTTTGGGGATCGCAAACCTGAAAAAATAACCCGGAGTAAATATTAACAAAAAACAGAATACATTCTCAAAGAAAGCCTCCTTATACTGTATTTTTATGAGGTATTTCTGTTTTTGTTTTGCCACTGTTTTTGTTTTTCCACTGTTATGGCCGAAGCTATGAGATTTGGAAGAAATAGAATTTTCCTGTCCTGGTTGGACATAAGTTGGTATCTCTTGTACTGCTGCATTTGTATGATATCTATGTCAAGGATTCTTGAGCAAGATAAACCCAAAATTTTATATCACCTTAGTTGGTTAACTAATATGTGAAATAAAATTCTGCTTTTTTGTTAGTATCATCTGTGTTATATTTTATCATAGACGCTTTTTGTTAAACGGTAGACCGTATGGAAAATAAAGTAATTTAAACAATAAGAACTATTGACAAAAAGACTTTCTCAAAATCATGAATTATGTTTCTTTCAAGTCAATTCTCTAGACAAGACCAAAAGGAAGTTTATTTTTTTATATTTGATTATTTTTTTTATAAATCATCACTTTCAAATTTATGCAGCAAAATTAAGTTTGCCTACAATGTGGTATATTACAAAAGCAACAGTCCCGAGATGTCAAAAAAACTAATTTTAGAATACTTTCAAAATAGGTAGTAATAAATGTAACAGTAATAAATGGGCAAAACGGAAAAAGATTTAACGCAGTGACAAAGAGCAATAAAACATTATGCATTTTTATTCATGTGAGCCCCTTTTTAATAAACAAACTGTTGGATTAGGATTTTACGCTTGATGGGGAAAAAACTGAGTGTTGACAGGAAAGAGCCACACTAAATGTCTTCGTGAGAGGATTGTAGCCTGCCGACCACCTGTTGCACATCCCTGTATTAGATTATTCAGGAAGGAACAAAACCGAACATTTCACTATTCCGAATACATTCTGAGAATTATTTTTGGATATAGAATACTTTGTGAATTGGGTGCAAGTTCATGTGGGAAATTACATAAATCATATATCTTTATGTTGATCACATCTAAAACAACACAAATATAAAGATCATTGTGTTATTTGTTATCAGTTGAAATATTATAGTATTTGATTAGTTCGTCCAACGACACAAAATCCCAAAAAATCACAAAATTTTAAATGAAAATGTTTTTAATTATGCCTGAATTCAAAAATTTACTATATCAAATAACGAATTTCGGTTCTAATCATTCAAAAATGTTTTAAATTAATCCTGAAATTAAAAATTCACTACATCAAATAACGAATGCTGGTTCTAATAATTCGATTCCTTTTGGACTGTCCTAATACCGCCATTGCTAACATTGGAATCGGTTTTCCATTTTGTTAACGTAACCCCGTCACACAGAAACGAGATCAGGAAGTTATTGTATTTGAATACTTTTGAACGTTATTTACTGTGCATTGGAACAGCAGTTTTACATATTGTTCCAAAATACGAGAGAGAGGTAACAATGACTCATCGATTTTAACAAAGAGTAATTTTGCATTCGGAGTCTGAAATTGTGCTGAACGAGTCTTGTCATGGAAATGGTATTTATGTGAATTTGGAAAGTAATTTTAGATAACTTAAATGGAATGAATGTGGTGAATCTAGGGCCAACAAGCTACTCAACCAGAAAACCTTTTTTTTATTTCATGATAAATCATTGTCATAGTTTTATATAGTAATTTCCTCTCTAAGTTACTGTAATTTCATCATTTCATGTTATATTATATCCTTATATGTAAGCAGACCCCCTAAAACGGGTCTAGAACAACGAATTTATAAAAATTCGCATATGGGCCGACCCTACAAATCGTATCACACCGCACGCACCTTCCACAGCAAATTGTTGCAGAAGATAATTAATGAAATTTAGTGTGATCAAAGTTATGCATGTATAAACTCGACTCATATGCGAGGATATATGGTACTTTCTAAACACAGTCAAATGAAAAATAACTTTTTAAAAACGGACTGATATTTTGTGACACATTTCAATTATCTAGCAATGCACCGATGCGTCATATAGCACTAACTTTGGAAACCACTGTTTTATGCAATTACTACTTCTCATTTCTCCTCAGTTAATCAGTAGCATGGACGTAATGCATTACTATATATCTACGTATATTCAGTAGATAATGGTATTTCAGGGATCGTTCATACATTTGCTCATAATAATTCCTCTTTACACCTAAGAGGTATTTTTTCCAATCCAATATTTTCCAAAATGAGTTTGTTTTGGCCATGAAATACTTGGCTAACGTACCAAGAACTTAAATATATTCAGTCTTTTATTAAGCGATAATTCATTCACGGATATAATCACAAATTTAAGAAAGTTGAAAAAAAAATTACTTCAAAAGTCATATAAAACCTAAATGAAAATTTAGCCATTGTACGCGGTCACCTTCTATATACAGATACAAGATAAAGAAAATGTTCTCGTTAAGCAGGATAAGATATTGAAGGAAGATACCCACAAAACAACCCCATATAAATGCAAACTGACAACCATTTTTCCTATTTTTTATATGCAATCGTCGGTATTACATCTCTTTAGTAATATGTATGGAGGACCACTGGAAAAATCAAAACAACGATTCATATGTACAGCAAATCACTTTTAAAAGTAGATGAATACTTTCTTAATTTTAATATTAATTTGTTTAATAAGTTGGTGGTCAGGGACTAAAGATGAAAAATTCTGTGCCATAATAAACTCACTCAGACAGTAAACAGAAATAATACAGAAGGCCTATTACACATTGGATGCATGCATGACAATGTTTACTTTTGTGTACTCTTAGCTTGGTATTTGGTAAAGTTAATGATTAACTAGAATTTGAGGCTTGAATTTTTCACTCTTCGAGAGTTCTTTGTGTGCAAAGTGAGGGATAAATTCACTGCTAACATTGACGCCTATTTCGAAATAACTGGAATACCAACTTAAATACAGTATAAATTAAATGTTATAACAGCAAACAAATTGTATTGTTTCAATAGAATGGAACTAAAAGGAGAATACACAACTGCCATTAAGATCTATTTCTATAGTATTTAACCTGCCATAACTAATCATCGACTTTCGAAATTAAGATTGTTTTAAAAGAAGTATAAATTAAAGATAAACAAAATCTACAATTATTTTTCGTTGTTACATAAAACTTGAATGGCCCGTAAATGTTACCAGTGGCATATCTGAAGAAGGGCACCCATGGCTTGTGTGCCAAAAAGGCCTCAATAGCAAAATGTTTCAAAAGAATAATTTCAAACTGGGAATTTATCTCTACCAAGTAGGTTGTTCCAGAACTTTTATATTATGTAGCTTGCCCAACCATCTGAATATTTAGATTAGGATCATTTTAATAATGACCTTTGTTAATTGACTTTGAAATCGTACCTAATTAAGCTGTATAAGGATATTCAATACAAAAACTTATTATTGCATAAGGATGCCAATTAGGTCTATGAATAGTTTATTAAATATGTCAATGTTGGAAAACAAAACCTACTTTTCCCAACTACTAGAAGACCCATAACTTTGAATCAAAATAGTTTGAATTTTTTCAGTCACACTAAAGTACTTTTGTTGAACAAAACGAACAGAGAACTGTGAGAATTTTTTTCAATGAAAGATTCCGTATACAAGAGTCATAAGCCTGAAAACTGATTCTTATATTTCGAAAGTTTTATTATTAATGAGGAGTTGAAAAAAATATCAATATGCCATTCAGATCTTATGGAATTGAAAACAAACACAATGAATGCCTGTTCCAGTATACAAACATGGCACAGAAAAGAATTCCAACTCTATTCAATCTAGTAACTCGATATACACAAGTTTAATTTATACAATGGAAGGACTCGGTTGCATCATGAGACGATGGTTAGGCCAGTGTGCGTTTCCACATCAGCCTCGAAGGACTGAATAAAACCAAGATAGTACTTATTCAACAGCGATGATTTATTTTTTTCTGATGTTTAATGTATTTCCCTCTGAACAAGGATCTGTGTAAGCTACTACAATATCATGGAAGGACCAGAATCTGGCGTTCCAGAAGCGTATGTACCAATTTGGAACATCAAGTTGTGTAAAGGGACTGAAACCTATGGGCAGGGTATATTCACTTGGCTAACACAGACAGTCCCCGAGCTCGTAATAAAACTAAACTAAGGAAAATCGGAATAAAATTATGGCCTAACCCTAACCTGGTATACACACTAATGGAGTAGGCTACCTTATTTATTACATCCTGGTTAAGATAGTGGCCATGAGTGAGTTTTTGATTTACCGAACTTTAAACCTGCAATGCTAACATTGTGAATCCACAGAATCTTTTAATCAATAGGTCACCGTTTGACAAACTCTTGAAGTTGGTATCAAATATAACATAAAAATTCTATTACAGATTTCACTTGAATTTTCAGTACTCTGCTGTAATGTTGTTCAAGATGAGTGTCCTTTACTTTTACGTTAGTGTGTAATCTTGCTCAAAGCAAAAGATAGAATACCACAAAATACAATTTTTCAAGAAACTATGCCAAATAAATGAATTACTTACCGCCAGTTCAGTATTCTCCAGAAGCTCAATTTTATTCATTTTCGCAAAATCAGCAACTTTTTCTTGCGGAAGAAACTGACATAGATTGGAAAGTTGAATGTTCAAGCCGCTTACAGTCTCTTCAATAATTTTCGCTGATACCTGATATTGAATATCAAAGTTAAATTTTATTTGATTTACCATAAATGGTAGAATATTCCGAGTATACTTACCAATACTCCATCCCTGTACCATGAAGTTGTTGATTTATTTGAATTTGTGTGCTTTACTATTTCACGACAGATTAGGATGTTTTTAGGTTCATCATATCTGTTAAAAACAGAGGGATTACAGGAAAAGATGAATTACCTAGCAGGGGGGAGCACAAAATATTGTACTGCAGAATATAAATTCTTCCAAGGGTAGGATACCCTATGTAGTAGCAATGATTTTAAACCCCATACAAAAATACCGTAAATAGCATGTTTTAAACTCTGATTTAAAACAATCATGTAGATAATAATTTTCGATTAAATTAAATTTAAATATTCGTTTTTTTTTTATGTAAATTAAGTTTGGTACTGTTCCAGAATGATGCCGCAAAAAAAATTGCTCAAAATTTCAGTCTCGTTTGCTCAAGTATTCACTCTTCCCGCTTCTTACGCTTCATCGATTTCCAGGTCAAATTGATGGAAAAGTAACGATTCTTCACTTACAGTTCAATTTCGATGATTGCTTTGGTTTGTCCATATTTAATATATTCTCCGACATCTTTGGCTCTAGCGAGGTAGTTTGTCTTTCCACCCAATCCTAGACATATTGCACAAACAATGCTGGATTTACCGGTGCCATTTGGACCAATAATAACATTCAACTTTGGATTCAACGAGAACTGGAAGCTGTCATATGTTCTGAAATAGATATAGAATTTTAAAATAAATTCAAATAATAAAATCAATGCTAAGACAAGGGCTGTAGCCGTCTCCGACTCAGCTCCAGAATTCCAGCTCCGAAATCTGAGAAAATCAATTTTGATAAAAACTTTGGTGTTGGCAAGCTTTTTTAATAGACTGTTATGATCACTTACTCAACTGTAATTTTTTCGAATCCTGCCGTAAATGTCACAATTATCAATAACAGTCTGAAATCAGTTTAGAAATCAAAAAAATCAAACTCTGTAACTTAATAATGTTTAGTAAACCTCATGACTTTTTTTTTTTTTTATAAAATGTTAACTCCTTCATCTTGACCGAAAATCTAAAATTCAGACTAAGACTACGAAAAATTCAGAATTTTTACTCCCACCCAGGAAGTTTAAAAATATGACACTGGCTCCTCAAGTAAAAACAAGACAAATTCAAATTCCACACCCCTGGTTCTTTTTTCGTTTCTACACGATTCCTATTATTTTCACAGTTTGTTCTCAATCAGATTTTAGTAGCAACTTTATTATTTCATACTCCAAACACGTTTATTAATTAAAGCTTTCCTATGCAAAGATACAAAAATTTTGATCGTACAAAAAATCTTTCGCAGCAATTCTGACGATTGATCCACGAGTAAATTTTTTCTTCGACTTCCTGTTACTCTGTCCAGAACCAACGACGTACGACTCATCATCTTCCATGACTGCTTTTAGCCTAATGGTATACCAAATTCTGTTTACAAAGAGAAAGATGGACATAAACACAATATTAGACAACTGGTAATGAGTCCTGATGAAATTTACGGTAACTGTTTAATGATACTCAAGCTTTTCTGTTGTTGTTGTCTTCATGCTGTCATGTGGATATTTTGGAATTCTTTTTTCCTCCCTCCTAAGCATAAAACTACTTTATTTGTTCAATCATCAATGGATTCTTTGCTAGTACGCAACTCACACACAACTGTGTTTCTGCACAGTTTATTATGTGTTCGTGAACATGTACTATTTATAGTACTAAAGAAAAACCAAAATTAGTAATACCACAGTGAATACAAAGCAAAAGTACTCCCCAAAAATGGAAAAATTCCTTCCTGGAAAAGAATATCTCCCCTTTTGAAAACGTTTCATAACAGGAGTGTGCCTTGTCAAGATTTTTTCATATCAAGCCCAAAGATCTAATCTGACAATTTATGTTACAACTTCTGTCAAAGCTGATGTTAACAAATTATGCAAGAACTCGAAATTTCAAAAATGCAACTCAATCAAAATTTTGCATTGTGGAAATTTTTTAATTCGATGTGTACATGGTTACCTAAATTGTTTGTGTGACCCAGCTAGATGAAGTTGGTTTTATGGCCCACCGATGAAAAATGTTGCACACATCTGGTTGAGACCAAGACTATAAAATTGGGGAATATTTTCAAGAGCTCGACTCTAGGTTGAAAAAATGAAAATTTCGACTGCTCTTGAGAAAATCAAATTTTAATAACAAAATATTTGGCAAATGCAAATACTCTTTAATAAACTGTTCATTTTCTGATCAGTTTTCATTTTAGGTTAGGATGAACACAAAAAGGCAATAATCGAACTTATCCCAACCTAACATGAACAGAATCAAAGAGAAGAAAACGAAAAATGAATGGTGACGTAACAATAGGATACCGGTAGTGCCTCATGAATGAATAAAATAAACAAATCCTATATGAAAATGGATGGAAAATAGAAGCATTAACGCAGGAAATGTGAATCATAGAACATAATAACAATCAGATTGAAAATTTCTAATTCAGTAATTCAGAAATTTTATAAAATCATCAAAGGTGTCAGCTCCAACTCAATAGATTGGTACTCAAAGAGATTTACTCAAGTAATACATGAAACCAAGCAAAACATACAAAAGTAGCCTAACTAGTACACTGCTGGTGTTAAATATTTCCCACAAACCAAAGAATTACATACTGTAATCCATTAATTCCACACAAAGGCAATTTTATCATTTCAGCATTTTGATCACTCCCAGATAGAAAGGTAAGACAGTAAGACTAAATTAAATTTTAAAATCACCAAAGTTTCATTAATTTTTTTTTAAAAACATATATTATTAAATTAAAAACCCAAGTACAGAAGTACGGCCACACTCAGACACAGAACCGAACTGCAGAACCCTGGAACCTGAAAACGGTGAATGAACAAACCTTCTGACCTTTGCCGAGCGCGGGCAAAATACAGAAATAAGCGTGCACCAACAACTGGACGAATGCATGTGTAAAACCACTTTCAAGCCGCAAAACCTACCAACGAATAACTAGACATATTTACAGTTACCAAATTAGTTAACACTTAAACCAATACTACAACAAGAAACAAGACATCTATATCACTAAATAAACCTCTTCCGGAAAGACTTCCGCGGAAAAATCCCGAAGCTGAACTGTCAAAACGAGGTGAAGAAAACAAACCAACTCCCGCAGGACGACGTCACGGTTGACAGTTTTGCGCCCTTTGCGGTTTGTTTGTTTCTTTATTTTTTTCAATCATTCGTCTACAACTACTGATGTGCAAAATCAAATCAAAATTCCAACCACCAACGGTAATAAAGAGCAACAAGTTTTCGGTACTTTCCCAGTGCTTTTTGAGTTATACATAGCAATGCTAAAAAGCGTGAATATACGTGTGTGAAGCGAGTTGTAATGTACAAGACATGTTAAAAAAATATTGGATTATCTGTTGCGAGGTTTGTATGAGAGTTATACGTTATAGGTACCATGTAAGCTTAGCCATGAGAAGTCTACAGTTTAAGCAACAGACAGGCTGTGGCTGTGCGGCTGTGGGAATTAGAAATTCCTTCTTTATTTCGAAGCGCAAGTATTTAGAGTTTCTGTAGTGTAAATATTAATTTAAAAATTATTCAAATTTTGCACTCAGAATCTAGAAGTAAAATACCCGGTTTAGGAGGTGTGATACAGTCTAATGAATTTTTCATAAAACTAGGAAGAAGTGTGGAAACGCACATTTGATTGCTACAATAAAAAAAATTATAATTGGTTCAATCGTGGTACATAACTGTGTACAATCAAGAGACATATTGATTAGATTGTAGTAACACGTATTTGAGCTCTGTTATCACAAGTGAGATTGCCACACTGGCATGGGGTTCTGTCGACTTCACACAAATTTCTAGTCACGACACGAATAACACACAATAGTAATCGAATCTTTATTTGATTAAAAACTTTGCTGCCTGAAAATCTAATGTATTCCACAAATTTGAATATGTGACTGACTCTTTGTTATTATTTTATTATCCTGGGATCGCCTGCTGAGTCATTATTTCGACTGATATATTTTCCACAGGAGTAGACGTCACTATCCTTTGCTGACTCCAATCATCTCGTTTTCTCTCCTTCATATGACTGCTCTAAAAGTTGAACAGGTACTTGTTGCTCTATATTTATTGGATCAATCTACGCCTTTCTGCTGAATGATAAGGTTCTCTACTTCTGTCTCAGAATGTTGAATATATAGTGTGGCTTTGCATCTGGCAAAATCAGAATTTTACAGTGCTGTCGATCATATTTAATCGTTAAAACATGTCGCTACAGATATAGCGTAGTGTGAATAAGCTTAGTTACTCAAGTTTGAAACTGATCTGAACTAGAAAATTATAATTGAAGCCGAAATCTAAAAAATAAGCAGCATAATAACGCAGGGAATCGAAGAACACACTTTATTTGCTCAAAGCAATGTTTAGGTTTCTATCGACTAAAAGGGGGAAGGAATACTTTTCGGTAAGAGTGCTGGCTTCCGCGATTAAAGTTTTATAAATATCTATAGCAGGTGTGGGCAAGGTTTTTGAAACCAGAAGCCAAAAGTTTTCCCCACCGATACCGGCGGGCCATGTAGGTGAAAAGTTACACGTTAACACACACAACAAGAGCACGAGGCGAAAGAAAGTGGTGTGAAATGCACGCTGCCGAATCGAGTGAGCGAGAAAACGTAAAGTTTTGTTAACGTCCTATATAATAAATGTCTGTGGCAACCTAAAATACAATTTACACAGACTACGATCATAATCTAACAAGCCTATTGTAGTGCTAGATTGAATCACCCAACGGGTCGGATTTGGCCCGCGGACCGTAGTTTCCCCATTTCAGGTCTATACAGTGCTTCCCAACCTCTATACGAGTAGTGGTAACGAGTATAAAACGTTCGGATAAATTATAATAGTTATAACCAGAGGTGAGATTCAGGCGGTTTGCGTGAAGCTGTTATTAGAATATTTTGATAATCAGCAAAACCCGATTTTGTTTTTAGATCTAAAAGTTTGGTATTTGGTTTATTGAATGAGGGAACCTGTTGTTAGTGAGTTACATACACAAGAAAACCCGTTCTTACAACTTCGAATCTCACCACCAGCTATTACGTAGGCTACCATATTTATTCGAGTGTAACGCGCATAATTCTGTACTGATTTTCAATAAATTTTTGAGAGTGCGCGGTATATGCGTGTAATATATATATATACATGGATCAAGAGAGTGCGCGGTATATGCGTGTAATATATATATATACATGGATCAAATTAAAAAATAAACTAATTTGTAATCAGAAGGTAATACAGCGCGTTGTGCAGAGTGCGCGTCATATTCGAATAAATACGGTGAGCAATACCTGCTAAGCGAGGCCAAAATTGTCTGCTGGGGATATTTTGAGACAGTGTATTTCAAAGCCTCCATATGTTTTCACTTCTGAATGGTATGAAAATCGAAAGGAGGAAATAAGCCTAGAATATAGTTATCTGTTTAAAATTTCCAAAATTCAATAAAAACAACGATTTTAGGAGACAATACAATCAATTCAAACTCCCAGACGATAGGAGAGTGACACGCGCTGGCAAAAGGAATGATAGAGCTTGTCTCAAAGTTTGGAACCCTGAACAACGCGTTACGCCAGTGAATTATGTATTTTTAGTATTCAATGTAACAAATTCTATATATATATATATTTTGTTTTTGAAGCAAATTTTATATATATATTTTTTTGTTTATACGGATCAGGACGACAAGTCTGGTATCCAGCCCAAAAGCCTTCATGCCCAGACTATGCCGACGGAAGTTCTATAGCTCATTTTCTTTTCGAAAAAAGAAGAAATCGCTGGTTCCACAATATTGTGGTTAACTTCCTTTCATCACTTCTATGATTTACGAAATAGAAGACTTACCTAGATCTTATGATACGTCTATGAGCACTATTCTCAATACGTGCGTTTATGCTAGCTAGAGAAATTCGTCCAACCTTAAAACAAAGGTGCTGGTGCCATTTTTTTCGAAACTAGCAATTATGGATTAACTAGGAAATTATGGCCATTTAATAAACAGAACTCAAAATTGCCTCAAACTCATGAAAGATTTTTGGACCGGTGCAGCAATCTTCAAAGCGTCAGGTTAGCAATACTGAAGTTTTGTAGCCTACTGTTTTTATTTGTCTCTCATCGTAAAAATGTTACGTACCAGTTCAACCATTGACCTTAATAATAAGTCAATAAAGACGTATCAATGGCAATTTTGCGTGGTATTTGTCACTTTTCTGTTGTATTGCAAAAATGTAGTTGTAAATCAAATAATACAATTGTCATTGTGTTCTCCGAGAAGCTTTAGTTGCAATATTCAGAAATTAGTTACGAAAAATCTGCGATAGACTAGGCTTAGACTAGAAGCAGGTATCAGTACCTGTGAGCAGCAAGTGGTTGGATATTCGATTGAAAATGATGGGTTTTGAACATGTAAACCAGTTTGTAAGCGTCCTTCTACAAAAAAACTCAAACTAAATATAAAATTTTTGCAGTGGTGACTGGTGAGGTATAGAGACAATTTTCTGGGTTCAAGGGTCGGGGAAAACGTCCATTGTTATGCCACCGCTTACTTACTGCTGATTGGTTATTGTTGCCCGGAATATCCTTTGTGACGTAATGACGTTGCAGCTAGGCTGCGTCAAGCCACGTGCGACGGGGATATTCTGTGTGGATGGACTAAACAGCGTCGTTTAGCAATTTTGTCTGCGGTATTTTATCTCATGAATGTGGGCATCGGATGACGGGATTAAGGAGTTTGGTAAGTTCAGAATTTAAGTTACTTCTGTACTATTGAAATGATATAGTTAACCGTAACGTACCGGTACCGATAGCGCGGGATTTATTCTACAATATCATGCTCTTTTCTTGTTCAGTAAAATTTGCCGTCAGGCTGCTTGTGTAAATAATTTACTCTATAGCCATTACAAATCAAGGTAGTTTGTAATTCGCTGATTACTATCTCCAGAAACCTTTTGGTAAGCTCAAAATTGATAAAGCCTCGTAATGATGACCCCCCAAAAAACATAAACAATATGCCTAATAAGGTAACGGTAGATCCAAGTTTTGCACACTACTAAATTCCCTGACCATTGTGCCAATTTTATTTCGGCGGAAAGGCGGCAAAGAGATTTTCGGGATCTCCAATATTGATAAACTCGTCACTCGTACCCAAGCAATAAACGGATCTTTTGTAGGAAGCCCCACCAAAAAAAAAACACCCCGAACACCGCTCACAATAAAACAAAATAGTAATTATTCGATTAGGGCTATTGTTAGGCAAACAGATTGCGCGGGAAATTCAAATTTTTAAATCCTTCCCAACCCATACTGGATAATTCACTATTTTTTTATTTTGAAACGTGGCAGGAATGTTTTCTCAAATTCACATTTTTGCATTAGTAGCGGAGGCTTTCTACAGAATTTTCAATAAACTTCTAATCTCATGTAAACGCAAGAATTCACTAAAATGACCGAACTGTCGAAGAACCAATCCTGTTAATTTCTGTAATCACGAGCACCTTTTCACTTTATTCAAAAAAATTTAAGTTTGCTTAATACCATGAGAAGTTATAAAAATTGAAGAAGCGCAACAAAAATAGTTAGGAAGACGATTTTATAATTTACAATAAATTTATCACATAATTTACAATAAAGTTTCCAACAATCCATCTTTGTCCTCGGTTTCAAACTTTGCTGCAGTGTTATTAACGTTATCAGATGTTACAGCGCCTAATCCAAATGGTGGTTCATAACTGTCGAGGAAATAGCACGTCCCTTGCATATCGTTCGGAAAATCGGCAGGAAGAGCCCCTCGTGGCCTTGCAGTGAATTTAAACCCAGGGTCGTCTTTGAGAAGTCTGAAATAAAGTTTACATTATGTCAATTTATAAATTATGGAAATACGAATTAGGGCACGGGTGTCGAATGAAAATTTCAATCAACAAAGCCATTGAAAAAAACAAACGCTTCCATTGTCGGTTTGACGCAAATTTTGAAATGTAAATTTGACTTTCAGAATACCGGTACGCGTTCAGAATACGCGAACTAGAAACATAGACCTCTTGACCTAGAAGCGTTCGACGTTTATGAGCATCGTTAAGTTTCAGTTTTAAATTTCGACTGCGACTTCAAAGTCTGAAAATGTACTCCTGAAAATTTGAAAATAGGAATCCGGCTGCGGATAGTAGGAATCCAATGCCAATAAAATTCGCCAATTCTCAGACTTTAACTCTCAAATCTGGAGAACTATAAATGGGCTTTGTTTTTTCGGTAATTCGCCAGGGTGCGCTATGGAGCAATTTCTATTTTAAGCTTTGCTCGGGGGTTCAAGCAAAAATTAAAATTTACGACGAAAAAACTTGCAAAGATCACTGCGAGTGTTCGGAAAGAGAATTACGTTTCAGGAAATTTCGCCGTTCTTGAGCCGCGTGCCGCCCGACCAGCAGTTAAAAAATTATGAGATATATTCTCATGTTATTTTAACGCTAGATAGGTAAGCGCGGTAATTTCCGCAACGCTCATTGTATTTTTAGTTTAATTGAAATAATTCTCTGCTGAGAGTGCAACCGCTTGTTTGATTAATAAACTGGTTAGATTCAAACATAACACACCCAGCCGCTCAAAATAAAAAAATAGCAATTATCCAGTAAGGGTGAGAGCTAAGAATGTAGATTTCGTTGGAAATTCAAATTTTCACATCCTTTCTCACCATAACCCCGACCGGATAATTATTAATTTGTTATTTTAAAACGTGGCGGGTATGTTTTTTTTTTCAAATATCACATTTTAGGATTAGTAGCGAGGCTTTGTACAAATGATCGGAAATATTTTATTTCATCACTGCTAAAGAATCATGCTCTGCGAATAGATAGGTTTCAAACCATAGTATATTACATAGGCCTACCTTTACAACCATCAACCTAAACATAATTAATAACATATTTCACAGAAAATATTATTTGTCACGGTCGTCATGTTTTTTAAATTTAGTAAATTTTCACCAAATTGGTTCATTTTTATATTATTTATAAATATATATTAAATTTATTTTGTATCCTACTAACAATAATAAAATATATATGAAACCCATTCACCCTATTTTTGAATTCAGATATTATAACCACAATTTCAAAATTGTATGACAAGTATATTTCACGGTTGGCTCAGACCTCCAATATCAATATGACAGATGGATTTTATATTTCAACCATTGTGAAGGATGTTATTTCAAGGGTCTTAAACTTTGTATTTGAACATACATCTTATATTTTATGTGTAATTTAAATATAGGATTGTCAAAATATATATTTGGTTTATGCGCTTTATTAATTTTTTATGAGGTCTTCAATATTTGGATATTAATTCTTTTACGGTGGAACATTTTTATTGAGGCAATAAATGTGAAGGCCATGTCTATCAACTGAGTGCCGAAGGATAGTTAGTGCAAGAGGCGTGAATGCGATAGCCTGTGTTGGTTTTGCTAGACTAATAGTGTGAATGAGCGAGTCCTATTACAAATTATCATTATTCGCCGCTCGCCCCATTTTTTCTATTCCAAATATTTTACTAGCAGAGCATGAATGGTATTGATGTCTTTGAGATTGTTACACATATAAGTATGTATTCTCGACCTTGTTTCTCGTCACATCCACAAAGTTTAACTGAAGTGTCATACGTGCGTCTTCGGGGTGCATATAAAAGTGAATTAAAAATTATTAAAAAAATATGCCAATATATAATATATATGAAAACTGGTATCCAGGCCAGATAGCGACTGTCGAAACAGCGACTGTCATAATGGCGACTCTGTAATAGCGACGAAATCAAGTGAGCGACTGTCAAAACCGACTGTAATAATGGCGACCGCATCAAAACAGCGACTGTTATGATAGCGACTTAACTCGTGTTAGGGTTAGGTTTAAGGACCTCTCTACACACGTATGCACGCACAAACAGGCAAACATTGCGTAGTGAAAGATTGAAACCAAAAGGGACTTTAAAACAACATTTTATTAGGACTAACCCTAACGCTATCATAACAGTCGCTATTTTAATGCGGTCGCCATTATGACAGTCGCTGTTTTGACAGTCGCTCACTTGATTACGTCGCTATTACGAAGTCGCCACTATGACAGTCTCTATTTGGAACCCGATCCATGGAAACTAATTTAATTATGCTAGGTTAAAGTATTTCTTCTTTGAAAAGTAGTAATTTTTTTTCAAAAAGTAGCTTCTTATATATCTTTATGAAATCAGTCGTTGATTATACAGGGTCTAGCGAAAGGCGTGATCGTATTAAAAAATACTTTTTCCAAATTATTCTTTTGAACATTATCGAGCGAAACCCTGAAACGAAAATTTTCGTTTAAAGACAACAATGTTTGATTGTGTAAAAGATAATGGGCTTGTGCCCAGCATTTCGTTACATAACTGTCAGCTGTTGCAACACACAACCTCTTTGTATATTGAGAATTATTTGTTTTCGTTCCGTTTCGAGTCATGCACGTAAATCTCCATTAAATTTGACGCCTACGAAAATCAATAGATTGGCTGGAACGACGAATTGAAACATTTATATCAACATGTAAGAACATTTTTTGTTTTCAAAAAGTGTGCAGTTCACCAAAAAACATCATTTTGTCAAAACTTTTATATTTTATGATGCATTTCAGCACATTCATTCAGAATAGGGCTATCTATAGTCTGACATCTCGTCGAATCTAACTGCCTGTAGTTGTTTTACAGTTGGTATCTAGCAATGGCCAGTGACCACATAGCAGTTACCTAATCGAAAGAGATATGCTGCACGCATTTCTATTGAATCCTCTGCATTGCAAAATTGGTTGTTGTGCCCCTACCATTTTTTGAAGTATTTCAATCCCGAGATTTGTAATGCAACGATCACCTCATATTAGAATTTCCAGTTTTCAGGAGTAGCCATGTTTGCTGCAGTGCCACATAGCAGCCATATAGCAGTGATCTATCCTAGTAGAACATAATCATTGCTCGCAGTTATTACAAGTGTTGGTCATCGCGCTTCGTTATAAATCACTTTTAAGCCGAGATTTGAAATGTTTCGATCTCATTATGGCACCGTAAGTCAAAAATTGTAATAGAACGAATTTTATATACTGTACAACATATTTGGAAGTCGAGCCTCCAACGGGCATTATATACTGGAATGTCCGGATTTCAGGAGTAACCATGTTAACAAATAAACAAAATATGTTCTGCCTACGTTATCAGGGCGTATAAACTCAGCTCAACCGAAAATAAAATTTAAATATATTTGATGTAGAATAGCACGTAAACTGGTGCAAAATAAACATTGACACATATTCCGTGACAAAGCGTGAAGAACAGGCAATCGTAAAACTCTCGTTTTTATAGAAAACTGACCGAGAATTCCGAGAACAATTGTATTATTGGCGCCGAATGGTGGGACATCCTAATTTTCCGGATGTGTGATATAAAAGGAGTAAAATTTACATATCATTGAAATTTTTATATAATTAAATGCAATGGTTCAATAAGAAAAATATTGATATGCGTTGGTCGGATAATTTGCTAAAGTCAGTACGTAACAATGAAGTAACGATGAGTTTTTGAAGCATCGATTTATCTTGGCAGTGCTTACTTACTGTTTATCGAAAATCCATTTTAAAGATTTGCTCGTGCTATATAGACACCTTGAGAAATCTCACTAATCGCGAAATAACGAAAGATTGCAATCGATTTTTTTCGTGTTATGACATTTCGGGCATATCCATCAGCAATTACAGGTATCGAACGGGTTGTCTTATACGGTGATCTACATAACTAACCACTCTGCGCTAAATATACTTCATATACGTGTTATTGCGTCGAAAGACTCAATGTCTACAATGTTGTTTGCATAGCTATTGTTACTCGAAACGATTTTTACTTCTATTTTGGTCGTATTTTTGTTTGTTTATCACGGACTCAATTGAATATAAATCACGCAAGCGGTCACGCAGTACTTTTAGATAAAAAAGAACTATAAAAAAATTTAAACATATATTTCTCGCATTTGAGGGGTTAAAATAAATTTTTACACTATGCCGATTTTTATTTTGTAACGTTTCGTTTGTCAAAAGTTATTTTCTTCAGACAAGCAGTTTACAACAGTTTATACTATGTAACTTGAAAGTAACTACGTTTGTGCTTAGTGTGCAATAGGACTCCCGAATTATATAGTATAGTCATGTTTATTCTTGCTTATCATCGCATTACACCACCGGTTCTCAACCCGTGGGTCATGACCTACTGCTGGGTCACAGCAACATTTTGAGATGATCCACAAACCTATTGAAAGTTGCTCGCGTTATTTATAGATTAGTTAGTTTTGATAATGGTGGCAATGATGCTGATATTTTTGCAAACTTTCATCCTAATTATCAAAGTAAAAAGCGTTTATATTTGCGGGCATAGTTTTTTACTTTTCTTGTAGTTTTCCCTCGCATGAAAATGTTAACGGGCTAAAGAATATTTGTGCAACGAAAATAGGCCACGAATAGAGAAGGGTTGAAAACCACTGAAATTACATCTATATGGATTCACTCGCGCGAAGGAATAGAAGAATGATAAGTAGAAAAGCTTGTGTAACCTTAAATAATAGTTACAATATATCTTGTTACAATGAATATAATTTGTAAACGCGTTATTTGAATCACCTAAAATAGATCTTTTGATTCTTGTTAGGTATTCTTGCATTAGGACATTAGGTACTAACAAATACGAATTGAGAGGGTAGCAGAGCAGTAGAACACGCTACTCAGCCACATATTTGTTTTTGTTGCTGTACCGAGCCACTATCACAACATCCAAAATTTTCATAAAATCGTTGTAAATTTAATGACGAAAAACCACGATGACGCTTGAGTTTAATTATCGGTCGATTCCATTGGATTTTAGTAGCGATATTTTGTAAAACACGCGAGAAAACAAGTTTAATCCTACGCCACAACGCCAAAGTTACACTTGGGTATAAAATTAATAGCTTTAGTATTGATTTTATAGAAGGGAATCAAGTTAGCTTAGGTTACCAGTTACTACAAATGGATTGTTGCGGGGTAATGCAGTAACCTAATGTGAAATCGATGATATCGCATGATTTCCATCCGGTATATTCATGCAGGGGATATATATAGCATAACCGGTGTTAGTAAAAGGATGTAATTTGCCATCCGTTTCCAATTTATATCTTATCTTTGATAAAAAATTTTTGTATAGGAACTCGAAACATCGGCGAAGATCGGTTGTGCCTATATCACTGAATGTTACTGATTATTATAGAACGTTTCTTGATGGTTATAGATACCCCCCATGTCCCATCATTCTAGATTAGAATCTTAGCTTTTTGCATGATATTACCTGCTTGTCTAGAGTCAAGTTCGGAGTGATGGCATAATAAGCCCCGACCCCACATAAATAACAATTGAAAATTTTGCCCGATTTTATAGTAATAACAATTGTAAGTTCAAATAGATTTTATTGTATAATGAATGGGAACTACAACCACAATAACAACTATGAATAAACGAAGACAATTTTTTTAATTTTTTAACACTACAAAATCGCGATAATTTTTGGACACCCTGTATCTGTTTTGGGGGATTTACCTTCAAGTATTCGTCAAAATTGAGATTCAAGCGCGGGATTCAAAGACTTTTCACTTTTTATCGTTTTATTAGGACGCAATTAAATTATGTGGCGTTTAATCGTCGAGTCCAGATGCTTTGAAATTTGAAAAATTAAATTAGAAATCAATTAACTGGTTGCATTTTGGAAATCATTTCCTCTCTGGGGACTATACTATCATGTTATTGCCAACACTGATTTGTGTTCTTTTATTTGGTTCGATTTAGGTAAGTTAGGTTACCAGCCCATTTCTAACTTATCCCAAGCCTGTTTTTACCACCAACAAACAGCAAATACTAGACTTGTCTTAATACAGGGTGTCAATTCGCACAGTCCTTTTACAATTTCAATTTTGTTGTGAAGTCAGTTCTCAATATAATTTAACGGTATTTTATTCAGTAATTGTTTAAGTATTTTTACTTCATTTAAACATCTGTGAATCCCAAAATAATATATGATATCGATAAATTCCCTTTGCGGAATTAAAAAAAATTTAAGACTCTATGAACACCTAATATTATGCTTACTTTTGGACTATTTCAGCATCATGAAAGGAACGTTTCTACACTGCTCACGCTTGATTGTTTGGGGCTTTTGGTTTGATATCCACTGACGACGATTATAATACCTTTGTTGAAATCTGATTGCTGAACATTAAAGCCTTCCGCAACAAAATTTAAAATTGGCCGTAATAATCGTATAATTATGATGGAAGAACGTCCAGTAATCGCGAGAAATTGACGAAATTTTGATTGAACGGTGTAAATGAGTCCACAACAATACCTCGACTATTAAAAATACTTTAAATGGAAAAGTTACATTTAACTTGAATTTCACAGCTCGCGTTTTTGATCCTGGTAGGGTTCTTAACCCATTTTTGATTTGATAAGAATTGGCTCACAAATTGCGTACATAATTTACGACTAAATGTGTTACTTCACGTATTTTTGTATCACTATTGTTGCTGACGTAAAATGTACATTATTTTATTGTACAGTTTTGAGTGATCGTGGCATTTTCAGTGTATTCTTTGGGTAACGACATCTGGTTGATTGAGGTTTTTCCAATCAATCTCAATTTTGTTAAGTAAATAGCAAATGAGCTTACGTTTTCAGAAAGATTGGATTTTCTAAAGAACGATTTATTCGATTCCAGAAGCCGCGTAATTTAAAAACAACCTAATCATCTTTTATAAGCAGCCCCTTATGGCTGAAAAAAAAAGTGAACGTTATTCACTAGAAAAGACATATTGCGCTTTAAGAATTCGGATTTATGGACAATTTTGAACCTTACAAGTCATATTATTCCAAACGTAGCGCGTAAGTGTTTTCGTCCACCTAATTCTGTCATAAATTTATCCAAAATTAGCAAAAACTCTCTAAAATAAAGTTTCACGTTTCCAAAATTAAATCTTTCGGCGCATGTAATATGTTATAATATTATATAACAGCTTTCTATAAACAACGATCACATATGGCTAGTGATAAGCGAGTCACCTGAAGTATAGGTGAAGTTTTATAAGAGCAACACCGCGATACCAGGATTTGCATGCAATCATTGCGTATATTGGCATTTTTCAATGGAGTCGAAGTCAGATTCGTATTTTTTAAACCATTTGGTATCGGAGTTCCTAACTTTCCATTCCGATAATATAAGGGAGATAATTTTCGACATAAACTCAAAAAACATTATGTTTTCTAATACGTTAAAAGGCCTAAATATGCTACGTTTTTGTTATAAATATTTGATTTTCAGAGTTCAGAGTTGAAGTCAAAGTGTTCAATCAGCAGGGTCAACGCCTTGGTAAATTATACCTCTGCAGAGCAGAAGCGACGCAAGATAGTTTTATATACTTACTCATATGTAGTGGGGCTGACATTGATTCTGTTTTCTTCGCTGTGAGATTCGAACTTATTTGCCAGCGTTACATTGTTTCCAAACATGCAATATCGTGGCATCCTTGTTCCGACAACTCCCGTGACAATTGGCCCCGAATGTAGACCTATTCTCATCTGTTGAAAGAAATAAAAGTTATTATGAATTACATCTTAGTTAGAGTCTCTTATCTCCATGTACTAAAAAAACATATTAAAAAGCACTTATGAACACCACATCAATTTAGTAATTTGATGTTTGCAATTGTCGAACAATGATACAGTTTTGTACGTTTCATAAAGTTAATGACGGTAGATAGATGTAAAACAATTGGGTGTTTTCCCAGACATGTGGTTCACGCAGTGTAAGTGGGACAAGTAATGTAATTGGTACAAGTGGAAAACTGGAGGCCCATGTTTGCGAATGCCGATTAATGATACAATTCTTGTACGCTTAGTAATCCTCAGCGAAACGTTGGGAGTTACAAAAGTTGCTTTAGGTGAATATGGTACACGGGGTGTAAGTGGGACGAGAAGTGCGATTGGTGTACGTGATATTCCAAATCTACACTGAACAGCATGGAATTGTACGAAATCTATTTATATTTGTGAACACAACTCAAACCAATACTTCAATCACATATTCGAATATGTCGTATTCGGAACTCAAATATATAGCTCAAATATTATTTAGTCAATTTCGATAAAGTATGGGACCCAAATTATCATTCGGAACAAAAATGTTATTTGGTGAATTAAGACAAAGTGAAGTCGACTATAGCGGCAACTATAATATAGTACAGTAAGACAAAACTATACTACAGTATATTATAGTTAGACAAAAACTCCGATTAATTAATTTTCGCAACGGTGTGTTACGAGTCACTCATAATAATTTGATCAATGATATTTTAAACGAATCCCATCCATCACAAAATCTCGCTAGAAAACACTTAACAGCTACCGTTAAAAGTCAGCTAAATGGTTTATAAACAATCATCGGTCACCAGTTCTGTTCTGTGATAAATAGGAGAGAAGAATTCTGACTCGAAAGGATAAAAAATTGCCGCTTACATAAGCTAACTTAATAGGGTTATATAAACCGCGTGATTTGGCCTACGTGAGTGACGAATTCTTAGTACATGGAAAAATTTTTTTTTGAGGACGATCGATGGGGCAAATAATTGATTCCGCGACGGCGCCTGATCTGCGCCAAATCCCCAGGTGCAACAAACCCACGTCAAACCAATTTACCGTACGTAAACATATTCGGAAAAGTTGTCCCATGGGATAACATTAAGTATGAGTGATGGCAAAATAATAACATTTACTTTTAGCAGAAAAAATGACCTTTCAGTAGGATGCACCAGATTTAAAATTGTCTTTTTGTCGTGGAGTATATTGATTTGCAAGTACACTTGGATTTCGGTCTCGTATTTGCTCTATTTTGAGCAGGAATCAGAATTCAGGTCGAACCTATCACATTACTAGGAACTTCACGGTGTTTTTCGCTTTAGTTGATTATTATTTTTATGGACTAGACGTACTTGTGTGGACTTGTATTTAAACTTATTCTATATTTTTCAAATGATCTTGGTCTAAAAATATTCATTCAAACAAAAATGTCCAGAATTTTGAGAAATAGCAACTTGGCATTCTCGAGAGCTGAAAACTGGATCTTTTCTGAAAATTGAACTTTTTCTACCTCTAACTTTAAGCCTCTTAGCATCACATTCAAGTCTATGTGACATATTCAAATTTCAACCGCCTCCCCGATATCTTCAACCGCTTTTGGGGTGACATGTCATTTCCGAAATTAGGAAGGGTCGAAGAGATTAAACGCTCCAGTGCATATCAGGAAACGCCAAAATTAGAGAAATTAGTACCTTTATTGGATCTCCTTTTGGCGTCTTTGCAGTGTCGCAACATTTTATCATAAACAATGCCATCCACGAGATCTGATGAGCATGTGTCTCAGTTTGACGATGAAGTCCCCCAGCCACGCAATACGCATCGCCAATCGTTTCCACCTAGAAACAGTTGAAATTGCAATGTAATGAATTGCAGTGCAATGAAGAATAATTGACACCCTTGATTTTCAATAATTGAGCACGAAATGGGTGGACCCTTGCTTAAGTCGTTCTGATAATTAGGTTGTTAATTGGGCAGAATTGCCTTCGGCTCGAACTATACAATCAATCACTTTAGTAGTTGAGGATGGATGAATTAGCTATAACGCTTTTACTTTTATATGTTTCTCATTTCGCTATACTACTAGAGGCGCGTTGTTTCATCCCAAATTTCTAAATGTTTTAGAAAAATTGTTCGATTTCCGTAATTTTCAGACTTATTCCGCGAATTCTACCAATATGAGGACTTCCCTCATATTTCCAATTCGGGTTGTATCGCCTTCGTAGTCTTTTCCCACGCGCAACTACAATTGTCTGCTGTACATGGGAGAGAGCTTGAAGCAACTTCAAAAAGAATATTCGTTTGCCCTAATTCGGACGCAGTCAGAAAACCCCGCCTATTTTTGGCCGATTTTGATTGCTTATTTGGTATGCGTTATAGTAGTACTATGGTAATTTGGACCGAAACCGATAAGCGTAACGAATCACATAATTCTTGTTTGCATAATTCGATAAAGCTTGTGCTGTCTTACTCTGCTTAAGGTAATGCAAATACCATACATGCATCTCGCATTAAACAAATAAGCCAGAAGATAACAGATCAGAAGGTTACGTTTGCTCACATCACTCAATGTATTGAGTGTTAAAACTTCAATTAAAATATTTTATATTCTCCCGCGCAAGTTAATGAATAATGATCTTCGGCTACCAAAGTTACCAAATCATCATTTACTGTGTGAGATTTACTAAGATCTCAACAACGTGGGGACTTTTCGTTTATGGTCTGGTGTCAAGTTTTCGATTAACTATTAACTAACTGTTCATTTTTTTCCCGCTGTCATTCAAAAAATTGCATTTTCTGTATTTTTTTTCCTAACTCCACTCTATCGAAATAGTCGCGGTCGAGATTTCAATCCTATTTGTCACTCTTTAAAACTTCAGGATTGTTATTACAATGGAGAGCACAGACAAGTTGAAGCATGGGGTTGTGTTTAAATCGCTGGATTATGGAGTGTATTGCTTTCTATTCAAGTATAATAATTTGAATAAAACTAAAACTGATTTTCCCCAGCGCCTTGCACTTTCCTTCTGAACGCGTCCCCGTGAAAGAAAAAGATTACATTCTTTATTTGGCGCTCCAGAAGTACGTGTACCAGTATGAAGGTAACTAATTTTGTTCGCCTACTTTACATCAAGTTGTGTAAAGAGACGGAATTCTACGGGCAGGGTGAATATTCATTTGGCTATCACAGACAGTCCCCCGACCTCGTAATAGAACCAAAATAGAGAAAATCGGATTACAATTATGGCCTAACCCTAACCTGGTACACACACTACGGAAGTACCCTTTATTTATAGTAATGTCCAATCCAATATCACCATATTTGATATGAGGACATGGGTTAAATACGTTAATAGCAAGAACGGTTGCTATTTTGACTACAAAGAATCGGTATAATTTGGTTTGGTTCACCTTTGAGCGATTCGAAAGGCAAGATATTTGGGAAGGACGGGTATCTTTTTTGTTCGGCATTGTCAACCCAATTAATTACACCCTACATGGGTGACGTGGTGGGAAACTGAAGCCTAAGTTTTAACTTTCGGTGCCAGCATACACAACTCTAACTCTTCAACCACTGGGCCAATCTAATACGTTAAAAGCGAAAACCGTGGATATAAGGCAAGGATATGTTCCCAAAAAGAAAAAAAATCGTATATATACCGATTCTTTATAGTTCAAATGGCAACCGGTATTGCTACTTCGTGCTATGGCGTATTTAACCCATGTTCCTTATATCGAATATGGTGCCATTGGGTTGGATATTACCATAAATAAAGAATGTAATCGTTTTCTTTCACAGGGACTCGTTCGTAGAGAAAGTGGGAAGCGCTGGGAAAACTCAGCTTTAGCGTTTTGAATAGAAAGCAATACACTAAAAATTCGTAAAAGTCTTTACCTTGTAGACGTCGTACACGCCGCACTGTTCATCAAACTTAGTATATAGATCACTCAGCATAGATATAACTTGCATTGGTGTACATGTGGAACATATTGATGTGAATCCTACTATGTCGGAGAAGAGCATAGTGACATCCTGAAATATAGTAGTTTCTTCATCTTAGGGCTAGCTAGACTATGGGACATGTGAAGTAAATATATTTAAATACTGTTGCCCAGGGGTCCACAATCGACAACAAACTAAAAATGTGGCATTGAATTATGATTTATTAAATGCTAGATTGACAACACTATTTCAATTCGTCAAAGGTAAAGGCCAAACACAGCAACTGGTGACCGATTATTGCCCGTGAACGTTTAAACTAGCGTGAAACAGCTCCTGTTGAGTGTTTTCCAGCGGCTATTTTGTGATGGATGGTATTCATCGATCAAATAATTATTATGGATGCTTTGCAACACTGCGTTGTGCACCTTGTCGCTGGACATTTACACTCCTTATAATACATAAAAACGATACCGTTGTCACAGATAAAAAGAACGTTTGTCTTTTCAATATAGCATTTCGTGGAATTTGCTCGAAATATGGGTTTGGACTAGAAAATAATTTTTCTCAAGAAATCAAGCGCTGATAAGACGGCTAAACTCGACGTGTTTTATGAATTTTTACGAGACCATTATTAGCTTTAAAACCGATATTGTTTCTGGATACACCGCAAGTAAGATCACAATTTACTTAGTTATATTACGTGTATTCACTTTCACTCCAAACAAGGTTCCTCACAAGCCAATACTAGCTAAAGAGGTACTATTTACTATATTTTGGAAATATGTAAATCTTTCCAGATTGTCTTTGCCTACCCAATTTATTATATAACCTGGATGAGGTGCGGTGGGAAGGTTTATGAATTATTTTCACTCTTTGACTCAGAACAGAGCTTCGAATAATCTGCCACTGATATGTAATACCTACTTTTTTCTAAAGGGCGAGACTCTTTGGGACGTGACATGATATACCCCAGCATGTTATATATGAAGATACAATATTTTGGAAGAATAGAGAATCTGTCCGACTAGCATTGAAAGAGTTCCCACACTTTGACTCCGAAAAAGGTTAAAGAAATTCAATCACTTTTACCCAAGTAACAATATTTTTTGAGGGGCGGGTTCAATGAACGAGGCATGATATATATACCGGTTGCTTGGCAAACAAATAAGTTCGTTTACCTTGATTTTCCTTGCTTTGATCTGTTTTCCCATCCATAAATCTTCTGCAACATCAGCGGGAAATATTGAATATAAAAGCTCTGTGTTTAATCTTCGTTCTTTTTCCAAAGCGTGATTGTTCTCTTCGCAAGTTGATCTATATAAGAATACATACGTTCAGTGAAGGGGTAAAATCAACGTGCAATCGGTCCATGCTCGTTTGAATAACAAATAATAAACAAACAAAAGCGCTTTACAATAATATATGATCTCAGTATGAAATAAAAAGTCGTTAACGTTACACATCCCATAATAAACGAATAAAAATATTCTATTGTTACATGGATTTCGCGAGGCTAACCTCTTATCATTTTTTTATGACTTTGTGCTAGTGAATCCGTGTGCGTATATTGCAAGGATGCTGTATCAGGAATAACCATGACATCAATTTACAATGTAATTTCAAGAACCAAGATAGTATATATAGTAGCTCCTTACCTAGCTGTGTATGCTTGCGCAGAGCCTTTCACTAAGGTAGCTGGGAGAAAACGCGCCCTCGTCGTCTGATATTGTGACGTCACTTTTTTGAATTGGGGCGACAGATTTCAAAAATGAAACGCAGCGTTTTCAATTTTCTATTCATTACCCATATTGGACGTTTTTTTTAATTTGTGCTTTTTTTTATTTCTGATAATTATATATATGGAAGAAAAATATTCAATACTATAATTAAATATCTTGCAACCATTTGAAAGATTTGACCACATATTGTGCACTTCTATTAGTTCAGGGGTTGCAAACATACCGTAAATGATATATAAAACGTCGATGTCAAAATTTATCCGAGCGAAGCGTGTGGAAATGTTTTTCTGAACCTATTAATTTCGTCATTCGTGTCAATATTTGGGCTTATTATATGAACTTATATATTAGAGATATAGGGCAATATTACACTGCGCAAAGTGATTTACGAGTATAAGTGAATAAACTTTGTCGAATACATTTCTATTTTGCCGATAGATTGATGATAAATAAATATTTTATAGTTGCCAAATATCAGACGAGTTGTGGATTGTTTTACTATTGTATATTAATATTATACACTGCTGTCAGACATCGGTGAGGTCAGTGTATTTACCCTCATAAATTATACTTTGCAGTTGGACATATGAGTTTGTTTGACCCTCGCGTTACGAGATCGAAATTCGCAAATCGAGTTCGAATGCAATTTCAAAACAACAATGTCAAATTTTCCACTTTTTCCACAGAAGTATCACTTCTGATGATATATTTTCAAGAAAGACGCATATCTTAAAAGCAGGAATATTGTATACGTGATTCTTCTAGAAAGTATAACTTCATGAAAAAAAATTTGGACAATTTGAGTGAGACGTTTATTATTATCATGAAAATGCAACCGATCTGATTACCAATCCGGTCCATGTAGCGGAATTCATATCAGACTCGAAGTCGGGTTTAAAATAATACTGAAATAGAGTTTACCCATAGTTATCTCATAAGGTTTGAGTAACTTCACGCATTGGTTGCACAGAATTTCGCTCGCATAGGGCGAGTACGCACGACCTTTAGGAAATTCCTGTTTATTTGGTTTAATTTTTTTTTATTGGGGTTGGCACCCTGTACATATGGAAAAAATAAGATGCGATCTGATACTGTAGGCCAATTCTCCCAGGCACGACATATAGTTTGTCACAGCTATATAGCTAGGTCAGTTTTGGTCATTTCACTGTTTTTTTATTATTTCCTAATGACGCATATCGTTTAGCAATGTCACTGATATAAATTTAATCATTTTGTGACGTTTTTGACGTCATTACTTGTCCAGGAAAGTAGTTTAGATGTTTACACAATACATCGCTTCCTCACCGATTAGATCGCTTATATTTGAATACACCGCAAATATACGAGTTTGTTTGATCTTCAGCCTTGTGATATTAAAATCGTCAAATCGAGTTGGATATAAATCGGATTCAACGCGACGATATAATAAGTATTCTCATAAACTATACCTGCATTGCTTGGGACGATATTTTTGTGCAATCTAAAAAGTTATGACATCATAACAGAATGCATCAGACTTTATTTTGGACGAGTTTTTTCAATAGATGAGACTTAAAATGCACAGTATTTTGATGGAGAAACTTAATTGTTCATTAATTATTATGATAATTTGACCGTTCGATTCACGTTACGTAATCCACGTAATCCAATATACGGTACTCTCGGTGTATGTGTACCAGGTTGGGGTTAGGCCATAATTTTATTCCGATTTTCCTTATTTCAGTTCAATTACGAGTTCGGGGACTGTCTGTGTTAGCCAAGTGAATATACCCCCAGTGCCAGTCCATAGATTTCAGTCTCTTTACACAACTCGATGTAAGGTAGGCGAACAAAATTAGTTGCCTCCATATTAGTACACACACTTCTGAGCGCCCTATTTGGACTAAGAGTTAGGTTCACGTTGTTCAAGTAGTTGTAAGCTAGGCAAAAACTGTGAACAGTTATGTGGGTTTCACTTTCACTGACTACAATTTTTTTTCTGATCGCATCGACTCAAACTGCAGTACTCGCGCTTATCGTTATTTACTGGTGCGACAAGAACTACCGCAATTCCATATGGTTTCAGTATTACTCTTGCTCGAGTCTGCTTTACTTTGGAGTGAGTGCTCCTGACAAGTTCCAACAATTTTTCTGCTATTTATATCTCATTTGCGACATGCGGATATGTGCGCACTATACAGTTATGGAGTATATAAAATGTGGTCTGAAACTATATTTGCCAATGCTTCCTGTCACCATATATTTTGCCTCAAAGTAATAAACCTCATGGCAGCTATGTGGTCAGATATGTAGGTTTTAGTTTTTTTTGATATATTACATTGTTCCCTAATGACGTATATCTTTTAACAATGTTACTGATACAAATTTAACCTCTTTGTGACGTTTTTGACGTCATTACTTGTCCAGGAAGGTAGTTGAGGTGTTTACACAGTACATCGCTCTATCACTTATTACTTTGATAATATTTGATTGGGGATGCTTTGGAAATTCCGGCGTGCGTTTTACGTTTCAGGGCATGTCGTCGGTATCAACAAATAACGGATAGGATTGTTTACATTCAAAGGGCGAGATGCGCCTGATCGAACTTATACTAAAAATATGTGAGAAGACATCTAGATTGTAGTTGGCTGAAACAAATTCGACTGCAGCTCCGATTCTGGAATTGCAATTGTAAAGTATGATGCCCGTCTGTTCTGGAGATTTGACGATTTTGACTACTATTTATAAACCGTGGTATTTGACATACCGATACCACAATACGTTAAATCAGATTTACATATTTATTTTATCCCAAAATATCCTATTGACACACTACATTACCATTACTGTGTTTCCTTAAAAATAAGACCTAGCCTGAATTTTAAAATGATTTTAATATAAAACCCTCCCCTAGCCAATTAACGCAAAATTTTGTTTGGCCTGGTCGACAGCAAGAAATCTCTCCTACACGTTTAAGACTGATATCTATGTTTTGCCAGTATTTTGAATAAAAACGTGTTATTTATATAATAAATGGATATCGGTTTTTATATTTTGTATATTTGAAAATATCGCAATTCTTCACTTTCTAATTTTGTTTTGATAGAGGAAAATATAAGACATCATGCGGAAATGAGCTCTAGTGTTATTTTTCGGAATAAATTGAAATAATATCCAGTCCTATTTTCGGGGAAACACAGCATATATTACAGATTGGCAAAAAACTCGAGGTTAGGTGAGAGCCACAGTTAGGAAAACAAAACTCCTCAAAATGAACCCGTGAGTAATGAGCGATGGGATCAGGGGAGGGCAGAATATGCGAGTTACATTTTTTTAAACTGAGAAGTGATCAATATATAAAAATTGTAATCTTGATATTAGGAAATACAACGCTATTCAAGTTATTTTCCAATAAAGTAAATTTCACGCATAACACATTGGAATATGACGTCATACTAAAACAACATAAAGACGCAATATGACGACAGTGTACATAACGGTACGACCGCTGTATTTATATTTTATTCAAGACAAAGTAAGCATATTAAATGCTTTACTGCCAATAAATGTGGTCAATCGATTCTATATCACTCAACTTGTCGTCGCTTCTATAGTCCATCTGCTATTAGACACAATAAGATAAAAAATATAGATATTTCTGCTCTATTGCAAAGCGTAATTCTCACCATATAACACTCGAATTTATCTTAAAAAACGAATTTATTATTATTTTTTGTGTGAGCAAATATTTCACCAGGATCAAAAATTTGAAATTTGAGCTGGAATACCAGACATATAAAATCGACAGTCAAAAAAATCTACCGGGAATAATATGACATACGCCAGAGGTTTATGATGTCAAAATTTGGTTATTTCGGAAAGTCAGACTTGTCAGGTTTGTTGAAATTATAAATTTGCAATGTCGATAAATACAAGAAAACGTATTCATGAATGTGTCTCCATCGCTTATTTATAATCCTTATCTGGCTGGTTATGACCTATACCCTAATTATAAAATCAATAATCAGATACAGACATAAATATACAACTCTTATCAACGTCGTAAAATCACAGGCCTCAATTTGGTGACCGTGCATTTGAACCCATGTACATTTAAACCCATGTGTATATCCACGGGTCAATCTATACGCGGGTGCTAAAACCCATGGGTTAGGGTTAGTGTGGGTTCAACTATCCGAAAAACAAAAAAAATTCCATAGGTGCAATAGCATACAGGTGCAATTGCCATGGGTTCAAATGTACGTGGGTTCAAATGTAATGGAACCCTCAATTTATGCATACGACACTTCTCGCTCTCAGAATTATATTGATAGAAAATCGCTCTTTGCTGAAATACCGTAATTGTTATATTTATAAATTTGTAAACATAATTGTAAACAAAATGTTTATTATGGCGCATTCATCACCATTGATTTGAGATAGCAACTAAAACACATTTAAAGTATTTTTTATTACTCCGCACTTGATTCTCAATACACGTAATATTATGTACCTGGCCTCAAGCGCTTCACGCTAAGTTATTCAAATGGCGTCATGTGTATTTATGATAATTCCGAACTGCTGGACGTCAAATTTTGGTGGGTTTGATTTATCGCTCGTTATATTCTAGCAGATTTTATTGCTCCACCATTGTTATTGTACGCCACTATTTTCCTGACCTATTTATTTTAGGTTAGGATAAATTGGATTATTGCCCCACCTTTCTAAATCGAAGGAAACAAATCAGAAAGTTAAAGGTGGAACAATACCACGATATGATGAAATCACGGCAATTTCTACATAAATATGTAACTCAGTGGCCACACCAATTAAAAATTGCTGTAAAGTACCTCTCATTAGACCCGAAAGTCGAGGAGTTACGATATGACTTTAATTGTAATTCAGCCCTGTCTTGACGGCAGAAGATTTCAAGCATTCGGCAAGTTACCAATTAAACTCCTAGACTGCATTTCTTACTTCCCCTTAACCTTTATTGTGTTGTTTTTGTATCAAACCATTTAGATAGAAATGTCAATCAACCCATTATTCATCATTATCGCAATTAAAGTATTGAGCCGATGTCATTTGGACTATCGAATAACACTAAATTTGGATGCGTTTCATGGCGATATCGACACTGTTTATTTGTTGGTCTTTTTTATTCAACTACTGAACGGTTGCTATTTGCTTAAGTGATAACTCTTATGTGGTTTTGGACATATTACCATAACAGTTTGCGGTTTGTAGTGAAAGCCAACAAATTACCGTCATTAGGTCAGTTGCTTGGTAAATAAGGAGGGAATAAAGTACGTGGGTAATCCAATAAAACTGACCAAGAGATTGATTAGGCAGCTTCCAAGAAAGCGAGTATTTTAAGTGAGTTTTGATAGAAGACCAAACCCATTAAGTTTTCAATTACCTCCACGAAAATGAGGAAAATTTATTAAACACTTGAACTCTCGTTTGGGTGTAAGACGCTTTGCACAAAAATCATGTTCTCTCTTGAAAAAAATTCCAAATGACCTATTATTCTGTAACGTTCAGTCTGGCCAAGGCAATTGTTGTCTCAAGAAATCTTTACTCGAAGGAAACGTTACTGAGATATATGTGTGTTAGCGGACTGCTGAATCTCTTACTATCATTACTTGCTACAACATCCTTACATTATACGCATACTGATCGTAAAACCAGTGCAAAAGTACCAATAGTGGTCGCTCGGAGCTTTTCTATCAGAACAATTTCCGCATTTGGTTAGCAGATCGGGACAATAAGAACTTTGTTAAATGGGGAGTAGTTAAACAGAGAACCTCGATCGTTGGCATTATCAATTACCACGTTGTTTCTGCTCATTGAATTCTTTCAGAATTCTTTTTATTTACGTCTTTCGCGCTTAAATAAGCATCCACTGAGACAGGGGTTATTACAAAAAATAATTCGGTATCCAATCTTTGTTAAATGCTCGACACTTTCTGTCAACTTTACGTTTTTTGGAATATTTCATATATAAAATCTGATTTTAAAATCTATTTATATTTAGAATCTAAATATAACTGATAACAGTAGTGGGGAATGCTTACAACGCTCTCTGCTTTAACCTTATATTGTTCGTTTAACAAGTATGCTAACGCAATTAATTGTTCACTAAGGCAATTGTTTATTCTACCAGCTTGCACTGACAGTGCGGTGAGAGTAGAGCGATCGGCAACTTTCAAGAATGATGCGTCGGACCACATTACAGAGTGTGGTTGAATACAGTCAGCGGGCCGGTCAAAATCTCGTCGCGGGCCGGATGCGGCCCGTGGGCCGTATGTTGCCCAACCCTGCACTAAGATGTTATGAGTTATTTTTTATTTGGAGGGATCGAAATTTTCACAGTTCGGCATTGCCTACCTAATTAATGGTACTCCTGGACCTGAAGTATGCGTACCAAGATGACGGACACACGAACGAAGTAAGTGTCAAAGGTTCGGGTCAGGCCATAATTTTATTTCAATTTTTCTTATTTTAATTCTGTTACAAGACTAGCCAAGTGACTCTCGTAGTATTTGAACCTCCAATTATGGCCTAACGCTAACCAGGTACACATACTACGTTCCGATGTCCGCCATCTTGGTACGCATACTTCAAGACCTGGAGTACCCAATTTATTACACCCCAAATGGGGTGTGGGCATTCGATTTCAACTCGAAATACTAACCGAACTCCGCAATACCAACATTGCTAACCCTAACAATTTCATCGTTAGGCCATCTGAAAATTAACCGACAAAAACCACCGAAAATGACCATTTATCCGTCCCAGAACGACTGAAAATCAATATTTACCTTAGTTTGTCCATTCGTCTTTTCAAGCCTTCCTGCGCTTTCGCTTGTTCTCCGACTAAGATGACGTCACGGGTAGCATCATGGATTGGGATATCAGATATATAAATCCCTGTTCCCGTGAGTTCGTCGAGTTTTCGTAGATGTGGCGATCCGAAGAACAGAACGCAGTCGTCTTCTTGTATGTACATCATTTGACCACGAATTTCCATTCCCTGGTAATATAACATGATAGAATGTGAATATAAAAATTTACAGATCCTTAACTATATGTTTAACTATTAGGTAAATAGAATAATTTATTCTGAACTTCGCCATAATTTCAATTAATTAATTAATGTAACTTAAAAATTACAAAGCACAAAACAAACACACAGAACGGAAATTAAGTAAAGTTGCTAAAACTTCAATGTTAGAACAGTATTTATGAAAAAAAGGATTTCGTTCGTGGTTCGGTAATTGCGTCGATCTATGAATTCCGATCATGGAAGGATGGTTGTCTACAGTGGTGTAACCAAAACCCACATTGAACTAACAAAGTCCAAATGCGAAAATAACTGAAATATCTTTTTGAAGACACCCCCAGATACTAACGCAAAAATTTGAGATTTGATTAATTTGACGTTTTAACTAATTGTGCGTTTGCTTATCCTAACCCTGACATTGCTGAATTCGATCAATGAATAAGGATTGTAACTGGATTATTAGTAATTTTTCATTTTGAGCAGAGGCGGGAATGTATTTTTTGGCGGGATCTTTCTACAAAAGATTCTATATGTCCGTGAAATAGAATTAGTTCTGGTGAATTTTCACTTTTGGCCTACAATGGCGCTTATTGCTAATAAATAATTCAACAGATGGTAGAAAGACGATAACATCGTTGGTCGGGACCTGTGTACGTTTTTCACCCACTTAGGTTAAAGATAAATTTATAGAAATTTCGAGAGAGTAGTTTATATTTCAACGCTGACTTTCATAAAATTTTAGCAGAAATATTTAGACAGTATCAAACAGACAGAAATTATAGTAGTGCCGGTAATGATATTAGACAAGCAACATGCAATAAGAGATCATTGTATAGGCGATTCGCTCCAAACAAGGCTTTAGTAAAGCGACCATGATGCCTAGCAAGCTATTGTGTTTCTGGAAAAGACAAGAATTTTTTTTCTTAATTTTATCCTTATTATGACACTCTAGGTGGGCTTGGTATTTGAAACCGACAAATTTTAACCTGCGAAATGGTTCCACTCTACGCCCAACGTCCTGATCTCCATGAAGACTAGGGGGTGACCTAAAACAGTTTTGAATATTGTTGTGCAAACATAATAATAATTGAATAGAATATGGTTTTCATATTTATCCCATTGGGAGGGGAAAGACAATAAGTCGGTATATTCATATATAGCGAACCGCGGCCTCTTGTTTAAGAATAGTTAACTATCATTTGTCTCAGATAATCTATCGCGTACTATGGGTTCGCGGAGGAAATTTGAAGCCCTTAATTGTTGTTAATGTAACTGTAATGCAATGTATGATTAATGACATTTACTAATAAGTTTTAACTAGGTGGGGCTGAAAATTTCAGGGAAAATACTTAAACCGTTAACGGGGTAAAATTGACCGGTTAACCGCAGCGTGACGTTTGACGTAAAAAGTTTAACGTATAATTTATGCTCGTTACGTCACACTGATTTCAGAGCTATTTTTTGGTCCTTACCAATACAATTAGTGATATTCATTTGAATTTAACGCCACAGGAGATAAGTTTGCGATGAACTAATCATTTTCGAAATTGTATAGTATAAAGGTGATATGTACCGGAGTTGTCAGTCAAAATAAATCTTAACCGTTAACCGTCCAAAATAGGTTAACCGGGTAACCTACTAATAACTTACAATTAACGAAGATAGTGTAAACCATGAAATATGAATTATCCGGCCAACCATATGATGCTATCCACTGTAGAAGTATTGTTTGCTTACTGTTCATTCTGGTTTACCTAAGGTAAGTTTGGAAATGTGTCACCTCCAGTGTCATTTTGTCCCAACCTTATCACATATGATAATCAGGGTTCATTGATGTCATTATTTATTAAGCCAATGCATTAATATAGCGCACACTTCATGCATTATTCAAATAGGAGCAAATTATTATTGACGTTTTGTGATAATCAACTCATCTACATTACGAGTCATCAGTGGTGACCCTGTAATGAGCGTCGGTGTGAATACTCATTAGTATTTATACAAACAGTAATGAGTGTGACGATGGTAATAAATAAACAATAATGTACCAACGCTTACCCGCCTGTAAATTAAAGAACCCTGTTTGAAGACTTGCCTGCTTATGCCTGGTAAACCTTTAACGACCAAGTTTCGCATATTGTAACCCTGGTCCATACTACTTTCAGTGATTTTAATTTACAAGCATTCAAACTATCCTCAGATTTACCAGACTTCTATTAATTGGCATTAAGTTTACATGAAGGTTTGATAATCTTCTGACGAGATAAGATTTTGACAGAGAAGAGCGTGTAATTTAAGTCACTAAGCAAAGTGTATTATCTACCAGAAGATTCTTGTTCCGCATGAAGATGTGTAAATCATCTTATAAAATATGAAGCTAGTGTTAGGTCCCAGCCATTTTAAAATTACTCTACAATAAAGTTATCACGCGCCGAATCATTTGACTTGGAGGTAAAGGGGTACTAGAAAAATCACACCCGTGAAAATTGTAACCCAGAAAATACCTCTTTCAAAAGTTCTGACTATGGAACCATAATACACTCATATGGAATTCAATCCTAACTCATTAAGAAGATTTTATAATTTATTCTAAGTAAAATAGTTTTTGGCATGTTCAAAATAATTTTCTCTACACTGATAAATGCAGGCCTGAATGTACATATGCGCCATGTATAATTCATACAAACTTGGAATTAAAAATTAATATTTACATTTATAATTAGGTTATGTTTAGTAATCAGTTTTCTCCATAGCCATCTGTTGGATTACTTTACATAATTTTACAACACAATTCATTATTCGTAGTTATAACTTCGTTATTTTTGGACTTCTGTCTTTATTCCTTATAAAAGATAGTTTTTGTTTTTCAGTGGTCCCACCTGTTTGCATTATTAGTGTCTTTTCAAATCACCCTTGAATGACGTATCGAACTATTGACTTAATTTATTTTAATTAGAAACCACGAGGGAATATCTACAAATAATTCGGTTTTTCTGATTTTCGTTAATTTGCGGTTCAACAAGCATAGCGGCCCATGAGATTGTGAATTCAATTAGCGAACCCCTAGAGACATTGGGAACCATAAAATTATGGTAAGAAATTCAAAAATAACCCGTAAGCTATTTTATTAAATAAATATTTTTACTACGCAACGACGCAAAAATTCGTGAAAAGGCTTAATCAGAGCTATGAGGCAAATGTGCCGAGAAAAGAATAACTGATTCAAATTCCAATATTCCTCATACTCTGATCTAGTATAGATATAAAACCATATTCCCATAGCGGAAATAACTCAATGAAGTAGGATTCGTGTATAAAACATGGTCCTCGCAAATGGTTCTCTCGCAAGAGGCACCAACAGTCCAAAATTGAGCCCAAATTAGTACGGTATCCGGATTTTTGTTCTAATATAGGATAATTTTATTTCAATTTTATTTATTGCGTGTGGGAATTTCAAGAAACTGAACCAAGAGTAAACATTTCAGCGTACGAAAGTGTAGCAACGCGAAGAAAAAGCGATAAAATGTTAACGCATCGCAAACCCAAATATATTTTCATCGAGAAATGGGACTGTTGTGTCGACGGTTATCGCTCGCGTGCCCAAAGTTTATTCATTTTTCACCTTTAATATGTCATGCATACGTATTTCCACGACCTCGAGAAAGTTTCTCACGTTTGGAGTTGTTTCATTTGGTGCTTTACTTCGAGCAAACTTGTTTTAAAATGTACGTTCATGCTTGAGCGTCTACTATGAAAGTGAGGTTTCCGTAATTTTTCGCAAACTTTCGGAAATATTGTATTCTTACTATTTTGCTGTTTATTTTTGTACTAGGATTGTATTTTGTTGTTAGAATTAAGAAAAACTGTTAGTAAGTAATCAATACCTGAATACCGACCTCTCCGATTGTAGATTCGCAAGTTGCTTTTGCCTCGGTTCGTTTCAATTCAAGAATAAATTGAACATCTTGGTTATCCAGTATCCACGAAAATAGGGAAGATGGCGAAGTCGTTTTTGCAAGTAAACACGATTCGGAAGATTCAGGGGATGTGATACGAAAATAGTCTTCAAATGAAGGACCCTCAGAATGATTTTCGATATCAGTGTCTTGTTTTTGTATTTTTGTGGCCTTTATAGCTGCAATAGACCGTGGGCTCATTAATTTTAGGACCCCGACACCCGTTTGGACTAAATTCATTCGACGATTAAATATAATATGAAAAGGAAACGCGTTGCAGAATACCGATGCTCCTATTGTCGGGTACTTTCGGTGTAGACGCCGTACTTTTCGGTTTCGTTTCTTAGCTTTATCGGCGGATTTGACAGGCGAACGATTGGGTGGTGTATCTGATATAGTATTTACTCTTCGTCGTCGAAAAGATGAACTTCGTTTTGGTGTAGGAAATGAAACATTTTCTATCGACCCTTTCATGCTTAGAAAACCTTCAAACGCTAATTGACTGACGGGTGGAAAGACAGGACTATCAGGACCTCTCAAACTGTCTACGCTTTCAGTACTGACGGCATTTTGACGCATCGCCATAAAAGGACATCCGATGTTTTTATATTTTCGTTCACTTCTCGGTGTTTTTCGATGGCTAGCAGGACTCCAAGTTTTCTGAGCTGTCAGACTCCCCGGGCAGGATCCTCTTCGGTCTTGTGTCATTGCTTTTATACCAATAATATTCATTATTTCAGATTCAACTTTGTTTTTATTACTGTCTCGTTTACTCTTCCGAGTTCCTCGTGGCGACGATTCTTCACTTTCGGTACCTGATAATACATTTACAGATAACATAGCCATGTCGGATGCAATATTTTTAGAGTCTTTGCTTGATTTTTTGAGGTATGGACACTCGGATCGTTTCTCTTTCACGAAATCTTCTTTGGTGTGATTCCGTCCGATTCCATTCACATCTTTCTTCTCCCATTCTTTGCTATGCTGACGAGAATGAACTGAATGCTCTAATATTTCCATGTTATAATTACTGTAAAGAATAAAATTATAATATTAACCATGGTATACTCATTTTTTTCATTTGAAATGATGAAAATATGAGCCATATGACAAGTCCGGCAAATGAAATTCGATTTCGCCGACTAAAACATCCCCGCTTTTGGGCCGTAATGGATATTTCACCCGGCGTCTCTGCAAAAGTACATGCATGTCAAATCGCCAATCTTGGAAACATCGTTATGGTATAATATATTACAAATAATTACGTGGCCGCAATTCGAGAAACAGATCTATTCGTATGGAAACAAAATGCAATTTTTATTTGTATAGGAATGTTTATTTCTGGAACTTGCATAACTTCGAAACACTATTTCAATACCCGGCAACACAATATACTTCTTCACCAAAATATTCAACCAGACAATTTCTCTGAATAGCTTCACGATTTCTCGGGAGCAAAAACCTTAACTATAACCGACTTTTCCGATTTCTAAGAATAGCTTCGAGGTCGAAAGCGATAATAATCTAACACAGGAGTCAATGCCTCCAAAAAGAACGTAGCCGGCTCCTTTCAAAGTACACTAATCAAAATAAACATAGTAGAAACCATTTGTCTTTTGGTCGTCATATAAAAACGAACCCTTACTATAAAACATTGATCATAATCTGCGGGCCCAACTAATCAAATTTTCTCCCGATCATGTCCAGGAAACAGACATTTAATTATGATGAAATATGCGAGAAATATCCAAATGAAACTCTGGCTAAATAGTACTTGCAAAAATATGGCCTATAGTCTTTTATATAACTAACTAAAACATCGAGGGGGCCCTATGCAGCTGGCTACAGGCTTTTTAAGTTGACCCAATTACACACATTTTTATTCTAATTTCGAAACTATAAATGCTTTTATAGTTCACTTCGATTGTACAGCGATAGAATAAAAATAATTATAATCTTTTATAATATATAAATCCAGTTACACGGGTTGATTAAGAAACCGTTTTCTATTTCACTATTCAAATTTTTTAATCCCCCCATAGCTCTCCTATCGGTATGGATAAAAAAAATTCCATTAGCAAGCGAATAAATATCAATATTTTAAGAAGGTAAACTGCGCGTTTGTAATTCGGGGAATTATCAATATCTCTATCATTATGTGTTTAAATATTTTAATAATATGCCATTCCTTTTAGCCATCCTAATTCCAACTTGTCTACTTGCTTGCAATAAACGTCTTCATGAGCGGCTGAATTGTATAATTCAATTTAAATGTTATAATTTTTAGACAGAGTTAGACACGGCGTTGTGGAAAGCATAAAATTGAGATTTTCTTGAAGTGCTAGAAATATTTGATTCAAAATATTCACCATCGATATCTAAAGCAATGAAATGCTGTATTATAAGTAACTTCCACATTGTTTTTATCAACGTTTCTCTGGTGAAACGAGAAAATTACTAGTAACATAGGACTCTATCTATTCCGAAATATTTCGAACCTTGTCTATCACAATATCATTGTTAGAAACAACGCATTTAAAATATTACTAAGCATACATTAAACCTAACGCGTTCTGTGCGTACAGTTTATGTCAATATACCGACAGAGCGCAACATATAAAACAGCGGTCTTTTATCATTGAGTTCGCCTTTTATGCTTCTCGCACAGCAAATAAAGATCGATTTGACAACGGATACCCTTTCTCCCTCTCACAACCCAAGTAGACGCATTACATCAATCTTATAGTAAAGCATTGGTGGTCTTTAGGATTTATTTCCATACGCTGGTGAACATTTTTGCGGACCTAGTTGATTAATTAGGAGTCTTGCTGCACACTGACACAAATATACTTCTGTAGCATTCCGTCCGACCAATATCGGACTTCCTCTGACATATATAATTAACTATGAACTCTTTGCTCAGAGTTGGATAAGTTATTATCGGCGTGTGGACAGTACTAGCTTATGTTAGTTGAGGCAATCTGACTTTTATTATTAATGTAAAATACAAGTAATTTTTTTGTTATTTTTTTACATCTTCTAATCAATAGATCAATGCTGAATGCCATGTTTTTAATTCCGCGTGACGGGCGATACCGAAAACAATTAAACATTACTCGAAGTTAATTAACTTTTGAATGATTTTTCGAGTGCGGGGATTAATACTAGAGACAAAAATACCAAACATTAATTTTAATCATGAACGTCGCAGCATTTATAGATTTGCCAATGTTGCGTGAAATTGTTATCACGGTACTAATATGAAATCAAGGAGTTTGGGTTTGTTGCTATAAAGTAGAATTACTACTGACTGGCAGAATCATCGACTCCTTATTATTTGACACATCAGTGGACATAACGATCGTTTTGCATTTTATGCTGGCACTCTTCTTCTTCTTGTTGTTCTTGTTCTTTGACACGTTTTTAAAACGTCGCTCTCCTCTTTGATTTCTAGACCAATTGTTCTAAAATTTTCAGTTGTTAAAAATAAAATTTTTCTTCAGAAGGCTATTACTTTTATTTATTTTAAATGTGTTCATACATTTGAGCATAGCTCCCTTGTTACTACAAGCATGCTATTATTTTAAAATAGTCACGCGCTTTCAACTAGAAGTAAAGAAGACTTTTATCTCAGTCAAGCTCCACTCACTCACTCGGAAGTAAAGAAGACTAATCTGGGAGCAAAGCTGCACTCACTCACTCAGAAGTGAAGAACACTCATCTCTGAGTAAAGTTACGGGTGATCAACGGATAAACCATGTACATTAATCTTCCGATCTGTGGAATTCACGTCCTTCTTGCTTTGTCCTAAATAGTTTTGGATTGATTTGATTCAAGTCTCGTTAATCGGTATTTATTGACATCTCTGTTGCTAGAATAAAGCTATAAATATTACTTAGCGAATCAGTAGACGCTAACAACTTTTTTTTGTCATAATCTCATTTCTCGTTCCTTTTGTCTTTTAATTTTACTAGAAGTATTCGTGAAAATGCAATCCGGAATTATCACTCTCGATGCTACTAATGATGAAGTATGAAGTATTTATCCTGTTTCGCAAAATTAGCGTATCAGATATACCTGAGATTCGATCGCATTTTTTGTGCAATAAAAATCTTGCCAAGTTGTTCTCGATTAATTAAGGCTTAGTCCAGCATATTGGGAAGAATCGGATTATTCCTTTACCTCTGTTAATTATTTATCCCCCAATCGCGTCATTTTGAGTGGGATACGAGAAAGAGAACAAATAGCCCTTACACGTACTTACAACAAACTCTATTGGGTGGGGGACCATGTCCTTGGGACCCACTTGTATAATGACCGTGTTTTTTATTGCAAAATACATCAACACTAATGCAATTTGAAAGGCCACCATTTCTTCCAACAGTTTTACAAATATCTCCAAATTTTATCTCACACTGTGGATCTTTTGTACAAAGCTCCCGCCCAAAAAAACACTCCTGTCACGCTAAAAATAGGAAAATCAGTAAATATCCAGTCAGGGTTAGGAAGACAAATTGCGCTAGAAATTTAGATTTTGTAATCATTCTTAACCCTTAACTCAAATTCTGGTAAAGCGATATACACATCTCTCTTCTCAAATTATGTTGTCTCTGCTCCACCTGAACTCTGCTACTCTGCTAGCCTTTCAAATGATTCATGCCTAAAATAACTCCTGATTAGTAAAGGCCTATATGACTCAAGCTTGTTTTGATTTAAGTCACTATTTCCGCAGTTAAACCAAACACTAACTCGTATCACATTTTTTAGAAAGCCTCTGTTGATCTTCTGTCATTATGTATCAGAGAACATCTTTCGGTCTGGATTTCAAAGTTGTGTCTGTTTCAGTTCTGATTTTATGTAGTGCCTCTATGTCCATTTTTGGTTTGACTGTACTGATCTGAAATTACAAGAATGCGATTTTCTTAAACCCTTGAAATGTGACTTAAGGTAATTTAGTTCCACTGCGGGGTTATAATCTACCAGTGTTTGTATATTTTATAACTATACAATATGAGTAGCAATGAAACATAAGATTTGTTTCCGTTCTTTTTGTTGAATCAAACCTCTTATAGCACTATATCATATCTTTATCTAAACCTTACTGGCTACCACAAACAAAGGTTGCGGTGTTACATGGAATTTACATAGATGCGCTTTTTAGTACCTTTGTGTACACTGATAGAAATATTGCAAATTTAACTGTGTTTTAGAAGTAATTGGATTAAAATTATGGATGGAGTTCTACAGAATATCAATATCAAAACGCCTATTTTAGAAGATATAAAATGTTTGCGATTATTCTATACGTCATGCGTGAATTGGTTTATGAAAATATAGGCGCGACCACGAGTTCTACTGTGTCTAAAATGTCTTGGAAATCGCTGAAACTGCACGAAACAATTCGGAAAGTTCCCATAAAAGCGACGTGAAATTAACATGACGTAACCAAAAAATGGCCAGATTTGAGAATTTTTTTATTCTCGAAAGTGAGTTAAACACAATCTAACCGTGAACTCCGCTCATATGTTCGAGTCCGGTTTTCAATCTTCATCATAGACATACATTTTCTCCTAAAGCAGTAGAGTTAATAACAGAATATTTTTCTTTCCTATTCCCTAAAGTACTAAAATTTTCTCTCTTTAAATCAAATCAGTTTATCTAATTCGTCTGGAAGTTTAATGAATAATAAATTGTTACTCAGCGAGGTTCAAGTGTATAGGTATGATCAATGATTACAGTATAGTATATAAAGCTAGCAAGAATTACCGTAACCTTGCGTGTTAAACAAGAAAAGTCAAATGCCTTACAAGAAAGATTATATTCCGTTTTGAATCCAGTAGTACTTTGCACATAACATTTGTTCCAAGTGAACAAAATCTTGATATAAATTCAGGTAATGTCGATAAAGCTGACTTCGGTGATAGTTGGACTATGCTTGTATGGAGTATGGCTTGAGGAGTGGGACGTCACAGAAATACATTCTCGTCAGTGTGCGCAAGACTCTTGAATCATGTGATATGATCGTC